TGGACTGATGCAAAGTGGAAATGTGCTGTGGTCTGACAAGTCCAGTTTTGTTTGTTTTTGGAAATAATGAATGTCATGTTCTCCGGGCCAGAGAGGAAAAGAACCGCCCCGACTGTTACTAATGCAACGTTCAAAAGCCAGTCTGTCATGGTATAGGGGAGTGTAAGTGACAATGGCATGGTTACCTTGTACATCTGTGAAGTCTCCATTAATGCTGAGGAGTACATATGCATTTTGGCGCATGATGCCATCTAGATAATGGCTGTTTCAACGTCTGCTTTTTTCAACAAGTGTGGCTTCATTGCAAGAGCGCAGGTGCTAGACTGGCCTGCCTGCAATCCAGACCTGTCTCCATTTAAAAGCATGTGGTGCATTATAAAGTGCAATATAAGATACCAAATCTCCTGGACTGTTGAGCAGCTGAAATGTTATATCAAGCAAGAATTCTACATTTACAACTACAAGAATAGTTGTACTCTGTTCCCAAATGATCATTGAACACTGTTAAAAGGAAAAATCATGTACGTGGTAAAGTGGTAAACATGCCCCTTTCCCAAATTTTTTGGAACATGTTGCAGGCATCAAATTTAGAATAAGTGTATATACAAATAATAATAAACATAATTATTTGAAACATCAAACATCTTGTCTTTGTACTGTTTTAAAAAGGTAAAAAAAGCATTTGCAAATCGGTGATGTCTTTTTTTATTTACATTTTTCCTACTATGGCAACTTTTGTGGAAATATATGGGTATATAAAACGGATAGTTCCGGTCCTAAAATCTGAATGGCTGAGCCGTGTTCAAAGCCGTTGTAAAATCCACGATATACCACAGTTATGACCACCTCACAACAACTGAACTCTGTATTACTGCGCCACGGTACGAAAGACCCCTCTACTGTTAATGGATTAATCTTTGACTCTATTGCTGATCCCACGGAGTGCCGAGCCAACAGGCTAAAAGATAGCAAACATGCTAAACAACTCCAACATTAATATCACAGGCTTGAATTAAAATACTAAGGATGTGATTAACTGAAAAACGGCAATATAGTTAAAATTCCAAAGAATGTCACATGAATAGCTTACATGCTTTAAATGCCTGTGTTTCAGTCAGAAGTAGCATCAAACCCAGGCTGAATCCCAAACAGCTCCGTACTCCCTTGCTAAATAGTGTGCTGTGTAACATTAAGTTTAGAAATTTGAGCTGCTGCTGTCAAATAGAGCACTGCTTGTCGAGTATGATTGTGGATGAATACCAAATGACCATTTTTAGCGATATTTTGCATTGTTGGTGTGCAGGATCCAGTATTTAAATTCCTATGTGGTGCACTAGCTATGTAGGGAACAGGGAGCCATTTGAAATTCAGCCCCAGCGTGAGAAAAGTGGCATCGTCAGACTGGCAAAAGACTCACCAGTATTTAAATTCCTACGTGGTGCACTAGCTATGTAGGGAACAGGGAGCCATTTGAAATTCAGCCCCAGCGTGAGAAAAGTGGCATCGTCAGACTGGCAAAAGACTCACTCAATTTGGTGACCAAAGGTACTTATAAACCGAAAGTATTTGCATTAAACAGTGCTGCGTTACATATGTTCACTGTTCACGTAAAAGTTTTAAAAATCATGAAATGTCTGCAGTATACAGTGACTGGCGACCGAACGTTCTCCTCCCCATTCAGCGGTCAATGGTTGCTTAGCAACAATACCATACTCTAAAGGAACTGAATTTCTCGGCGGAATACTTGTTTATGTTGGTTATTAATAATAACTTAAATCATTATCTAAAATATTGTGCATTTTTATATATTTTATGTTGGCCACCGTTTTATAAAAGAAATAAGCCACTCGAGGCAGTGGGTAACTGCAAATTTTATCACGGGGAACGGAGATAAAAGAACACCCTTCCTGTGATAAAATTGCAGTAACCCATGGTGTTTCCTGGCTTATTACTTTAATATAAGTATTGTATAAAACGTACCTAATAAACCTGAAAGGTATTGTAGGGCAACACTTCTTATTTAAAATCTTACAAATGCAGGACCTTTTATTACCTTTGGAATTTTCATGTCATCATACTTTTTACATCATGTATGTATTTGTGTTTTTGCAGTTGTTCCTATATAATTTAACTGTACATTTTCTATCATTTTTATGCATATATGGACCAAAAGAGCAATTAAGGAAAAGCAAACTAGTAAAAATAATTAAGCACAAGAAATCAACTAAAATATCCTACATGTAATTTACTATTTTCCACCAGTGGGTTTGTGTGCACAAGCTTCTTGATTAATGTCATTCTTCACTGAATGTCAACATAATTTACTCCTGAATGGCCTGAGAACTTGAAAAATAAAAACATCTAAATAAAAACAGTTAAATCAACTAGAGTAACCCCACTGTTTACAACACACAGCACTGTTGTGAAATCACAAAAGGAAAACCAAATAAAGAAGGCTGAAGTAAGCACTGTAAATGTGACCAGTTCTCTGTTTGTAAGGAAACTTGGACATGGAAAAGGCAATCTTGGATCTGATTTGTTTTATTGCAAACTCAAAGAAACAAGGCAGTATTTGGGATCTTCACAAAGAAAGTTTTCATCAAACAAACACTCACCAGATAAAACATTCTAAGTTACAAAAGTATTTTCTTAGTTTCTTATGTATCCTTAGTTTAAAAAAGCGTATCCCAAAAACTTGCCAGACAATACAGTGCACAGATTTGTATGATTCAATAGTGTTACTGTTCCTCAAACTATAAATACAATAGCTGAACAAGTTTTCTGGCTACAACTTCCTTTGGATTTGTACAAAAGAAAGCTCAAAATTCATTTAGATTTTGATTCCAAGATCTCATTATCAAATCATAATCAATATATCTCATTGGATTTCAGTTTTTGATTTCTATAGCTTACAGTATGGTTTTCTTTTGTATTTCCCTTTAACAAGTGCTGTTAGTTTCGTTGAATTTTAATGCACCCTGTGCACTTCTTGTTAAGTCTATAGGCCTGTTTCAACATCTGACAGGTTTGAAATAAAATCTAAAAAATGAAAAACAAATGACTCAGGTAACATTTTTACTTTTGGTGTTGCTGTTTTACAGTTTGTTCAGTAAATTCTTAAACATAAAACCTAACTCTGAATATTACTGGATTAGCCTGTTAGCAATTTCCTGAGGCAGTTGTTAAACGAAACTCCTTTCTCCAAACTGAACTGTGTCAAAATATTCTTCTTTAAAATGTTTCTCTGAACTCTCTTTACCTATGACACCACCCATGTCGATACTGTTTTCTGTCCTCCTGCTCTACACATATCGAACAAGAAACCAGTTGATATTTATTAAATTGGCCTGCTTAACATAAGAGTTGGTGTACAAAAGTTCATATAACAGGAACTATGTTAGGGAAGAGCTCTGCACTATAAGCAATGGTCGCAGTATTTCAGAATGTCCCTCGAGGCCCACGCATATTTTCATGCTGACAGGTTTTATAACAAACAGAACAGTATGACCAGAACTGTCACATCTTGCCCAACAAATCTTTGACTACCAAGGTGTGGGAGAAAAAAACAAGCATTCATATATGACTACTCGAGTAAAATTAAATTAATTCAACTCAAGAAGGCCTTGCTTACTATTTGTAGGTTTAATGAGGCAGAACGCTGAAGCCTACAGTGCTTTGGCCTGCAAGGACTGGAACCTGACGTGTTATGGCATCAGTTAGGAGCAGCCACTGCTGTGCAATAGCTTAGAGGTACTTCCAGTCTTACCATAGGTCCTACCACACTCAGCCATGTAACAATGTAGTTAACTTTCCTGGAACAAGATACATAAAGTAGTCAAAGGAAGAAAGTGTTTAAATCACAGAATATGCTACTTTTCAACAATTCATAGTATTCGACATTAAGGAGACCATGTTGCCATTTTGGAAGGCAAGCTGTAGTTCTGACTGTGCTCTTAAATAATAAAAACTCATGCATAAATAGTAAGCTTATTCACCTGCTTCTCATTTGAATTTTCCATGAATGAAATGAATTCTCGTTTGTGTTCCACTTTAAATGGTGCTGCAGATACAAAGAGGCGCCTATTAAACAAAGAACGAATTTTAAAGCTGGCGAACATCGACTTACCTCAATAAATGATCCTTAATCAACAAATATGTCGAAAGTTTGCTTGGAAATGTTTAACTGTTACAGAGCAGTTGTTGCGCAGCACAGCGAAGCTATAATCAGTTATTGGAGCTGCTGATCGCGTCTCACTGACTGATCTCACGCGGCGTCCCAAACCACACACTTCTGTACATCACCTACTACACTAGTAAGTGCACTTCTAATGGTATATGCGCTGATTTTTGCATACCATTTCATGTGCTAGTGTGCAGATTGGAACATGAAAATAATAACGCAGCTGGGAATCTCAGCCATCTAGATTATAGCTTTCATTTGTCATCACTACAACCACAAATCAAATGAAATCAAGTCAGTACACTCAAATACATTGGTTAATGTGCTTTAAAAACGTGAAAAGGTTAAAAACTTGTTTTTCTGCCTTTACTGGATCGGTGATGGCTTTATTACCTCATTACACACAGCCACAGCACTGCTGAATGAACTTGAAGTTGCCATCCAAAATGGTGGCAGCGCAATCATGATGTCATCAGATTACTATCAATAGCTAATTCACCATACATGAACAAATAGGCAGTGGAAGACATGATGAGCTGAAATGTAATGTTACCTTTTCTTCGCATGTGCCATTTGCAAAACTGGTCGCATAAACTCCTCAGTGCAACAAGGATGGAGCACAAAGAATGGTTGCCCAAGTAAAGGATGTTCCTAACACATACACACATATACAAAAAAAAAGGCAAAAAACAACGTTAATTTGCAACCTGACCTCATCCTTTTTAAAAAGGAAGAAAAGATCAATTGTTAATTAATAATTTTTTCCATTATTTTCATCTTATTATTACTATTATTAGTAACAAAGTAACCAAATTATTTTAAAAAATTATAAACATACAGGTATAATATGTACTAACAGTATTCTTTACAAATAAATAAGCATATAAAATGTCCAGTAATAGCAGAACACCAGCTGCCCTCATTAAACAGCAAAAGAGGGAAAGGAGCATAGTTATAGGAACTGTTGTAGTGTCACATACACGGAACTCAATATGTTCAAACTGTTTCTTCCATCTGAATTTCTCAGAGGTGATATATAGTTTAGGAACACCTTTAAAGTGAAGGTGTTGTGCTAGTAAGTGATGAGATTTGTGCTAGGAATCCAGCCTTATATTTCCACTAAATGTTACCATTTCAACCTGTACAGGGTGTATCCTACCTTCAGCCCAATGAATGCTGGGATAGGCTCCAGCTCCCCCTGCGACCCAGAAGGATAAGCGGCTTAGAAAATGTGTGTGTGTGTGTGTGTGTGTTATCATTTCAGAATCAACTATCCTATTAGAAACTATTATCATTAACCATGACTTAGATCAGGTGTGACAATCACAGGTTGAACCCAAAGCTTAGAAAATCATCAGTACTTTGGGGAGCATATGTTGATTCACTGTATGATTAACTGCTCACCAGTTCAGCTGCTGATGCGAGTTTCTCACCAGTATGTGAGTTCAAAATCAGTAGTGAACTAGTTGTCTGCAGAAGGCAGGTTCACTCCTGGGTCCTGTGTGATCTGCAAATAACTTGCGGGAAGGATTTATTTTGAAGCACCACGCTCATTGCCGGTAAACAGCCAACAGGTTGTGGGCTCATGGTATTATGTAATTACTTAAATTACGTACATAATTACGTAAATGACATTTATTTTGTTTGTGCACAAACTAAAAAAAAATGTGCACAATAAAAAAAAAAGAACACATGAGCATGATTAAAAGAAAACAAGAGAACGAATGAAGACACTGTGACCATAAATAAATAAAAAAAATGTACCCACAAATTAAAGAAAATGTACACATGAGTACTAGAAAATGAGAGGAGTTCTTAGTCGTGGGAACGAATTAAGAAATCGTGACCATGAATAAAAGAAAACGTGCATACAAATGGCAAAACTTTCACTCAAATTAATATTTTTACCTCAGTCCCCTCCAGGGCTCCATAAATATAATGCTGACACAGATTATATTATTATTAATAATCAGGCCCGTGCAGACCTCTACAGTCAACTCTGATGCTCTTTAGCACAAACAAAGAGCCAGTTTGGTTAATCTTTACTTTACCTCATCTTGCTACAATACATTTTGTAACTGCTCCACACTGAATATTTTCTGTAACTGGACTTTTATCAACAGAATAGGCTTATATTTTGGCAGGCCCTTCAAGTAATAAGAGACAAATTGTAAGTTCTCTTTACTGAATCTTTACTGAAATAGTGTAGGATTTGACACTAATGACTTCCCATGGCAAATACTAAGGGCTGCATCTGGTTAATGTTTGCAGTGGCGCTGATTAATTTTGCATGCATAAAAGCACCAAAAAGCCACTGGCTTAAGCGTGTCCGACTTCATGAAGAAGCACTTTAGGGCCTCATACTCTTAAGGTGCAAAAATAGGGAAAATCTGTGAAAAATCTGTAACTGTACAAATTAACAACCTGGAGTTACTAACCTTATTACTGTTCAGCATGTTTTTAAATGCAAGAAAAAGGCGTAATTACTTTGAAAATGGCTGCCAGTCTTAAGGTGCAAGAAAAGCCAAAGACAATTTTCCATTAGAGAATTACTCTCATTCAGATTTTTTAAAAGCAACCTTTTCAACATAAAAAATATTACAATTCTGGTAAGTTCTTCCTCTATTTAGCAGTTTGCTTTTATCATTGTCTTTGTTTTCCCAAGCCAGACTTTCTATTTGGACTTTTTCTTTGGACCATTAGCTCTTCTTATATGAAAAATATTGTATTGTACATTATGTATTTGGAAAGAAATGGATGAAAATTACCAATTTATTTTAATTTGATTTTTATTTGTTTTGAACTTTCGTACTTCTAATGCATTTTGGAAAATAAAAAATACCTACCCATGTTTCTTTTCCCATACAATTTATTATTATTATTATTATAATTATTACTAAATTTCCATTTTTTAAATAAGCTGGTATGATAATGTATGGATTCTTATTTTCTTCAGAGGGATTTTTTTTCTTCTTCTGTCTGCTTTACTACAATGGGTCCACATGCACTCTGAGATGATTTGTTTTAAAATCTGTAAAATTCAAATTGCTACATCATACTACATCAGTTGCAAATGTAGAGCCAACAGTGATGTTTCAGCACATTCTATAAGTTTTACACACACCTTTGTAAATACAGCCCAAAGTCGAGGCAGCAGCATTGAAAATCACTTATCCAGATAGGAAAGCTTATGGTCAGTGACAGGATAGTTCTGGACCTACAGAAATAATAAGTCTAAACCAGTATCTTGTTGGCAACGTCCAAATTTAAGTACATGTATTTACTGTTATGGAATTTTCAGGGAGGCAATCATCTTTTGCATACAAGAAAAAGAAATGGAAACATGGAACAACACGGGCATTTAGTTTTAGAGTTTTGAGCTGATCTACATGCTACATAGCAAATGGACTTCAAATTTCTTTTTTAGTGTTTGACAACCAAGTAGGGATGCATTGATGTGAAACAATGCAGATATCCAATATGTTTTATGTACGTATCTGTCAATGTTGATGCCGATACATTAATTTTAATAAAATGTAAAAATGTTCATGTAAGTCTATAGGGTTAGAAATGCAGTGAAATTAATAAAATGCAGACATTTTAGCAGAGTAGACCAGCATCATCTAACTATTCTTCTTCTTACAAAGGACAAAAATCTTCATCATATATTATTTTGGAATATCACTCAAATTTAAAGATCTATCTATTTGATTGAATACTGTCATGGCATATTTATTTCAGTCTAATTTTTTTAAATATCGAAAACAGTTGCTGAATTGTGTGTATAAGGACCAGTCTTAATGTAATCCAAACATTTACACCCATAAATGTTATATATAGTCTTAAATAAACATTTACATAACATTGGATGCTAATGAATGCCTTTTTGGGGTTCTCATAAGTTACAATCCAATTTCAGAAAACACTCTCAGCATTCTCTGTCCAGATTCACTGCTACTTGTTTCCCCATCCAAAAGCCAAAAGTCTCCAGTGGTGGTATGCTATACACTACTCCAGCCAACACTTGTCTTACTGTAATCCAAACATTTACACACATAAATGTTATATATAGTCTTAAATAAACATTTCTGTGGTTATTTACATAACATTTACATAACATTGGACGCTAATGAATGCCTTTTTGGGGTTCTCATAAGTTACAATTCAATTTCAGAAAACACGCTCAGCATTCTCTGTCCAGATTCAATGCTACTTGTTTCCCAACCAAAAGCCAAAAGACTCCAGTGGTGGTATGCTATACACTACTCCAGCCAACACTTTATATAGTGTATAGTGATCAGAGGCTTGTGTGTAGCTGCTCAGCCAGAGAAACATAGTTCTTGTGCTGATGTCACTTCCAAAGGTAGTTTCGGAACTCTGTAATGAGACATGCAAAGTAGGATTTTTTTAGAAATTTATATGTGCTTATGCTCTTCAGCACTCAGCGGCCCTGCTCTGTGAGTTTGCACAGTCTACTGCTTCGGGGCTGTGCTGTTGTTACTCCTAGATGCTTCTATTTAACAACAATAGCACTTACAGGACAGATCTAGTAGGACAGAAATTTCACAAATTGACTTCTTGTAAAGGTGGCATCCCTCTTCTGACAGTGCCACATTTAAAGTTCCTGAGTTTTCCAATACAACCCATTTTACTGTGGTGTGTCTATGGAGATTGCATGGTTATGTGCTAAACTCAATAATTGGGAGGGGTTTTGGCCATATATCTGTGTCCTACTCATCAAGAGCTTTTTCATAATATTAATGATGAGTGTGTAATTTATTGGCAAATTTGCTGACTACTGATCTACACACAAAATATAATTGCTCAAGACTGTTGACACTGCAAAAATAATGGAAAATCATCTAGGGTGACACCTGGTAGCCAAAATGTCAGAGTTCCTAAAGACTTTGAATTTCTTAAACGTTTATATATGAAAATATATCAGTTATATTTTGTTCATAAAAATGGTTATTGGTCTTCTGTAGGACCTATTGTTTTTCTGCTCTGCACAGTGTTTACTGCACTGTTTCTATTAGTGTAGTACATGATAGTCTTTCTCATCAGTCTATAAAACTACAGGTGCTTGTTTTTAAATCTTTCAATGGTTGAACAAGGAAACTTAATGAGAATATTCAAATCAACCAACAAAGCAACACAAGTTCCCCACTGATTGAGAGACCCCCCAAAGGCTAAAATAAATGGCCCCCCATCTAAATACATCTTCTGACTGAACCACCCCCAAATAAGAAACTGTGTCAGTCATTCTTAATCCTCACTATCTACAGTTTTTATATACATTTGTTGACATCCTCTCAATTTTTTTAGCTTCTATGATTTGATTTTGATTGGAGTTAAATATTAATTTTAATAATGCACAAAAGTCACACCTTCCTCAGACCTGGCTATGCCTTCCCAGAACCAATCGCTGCAACATGTGACACAGGACTCTCTCAGATCCACCTATCCCCTTCCAGATCTCCTGACTACTGATTATCCACACCTGTTGCTTGTTACAAGTGTTTGTTAGTTGTGAGTATATAAGCCCGAGCTTTTCCTTTGTGCCATTTTCTGTCTCTCTGTATTATGACTTGTATTTTGTTTGTGACCATGATTCAAGTCTTGCCCTATTTTTCGGTACTAATTATCTGGTTCTGCTTCTGCTCGTGTTTACCTACGAGTTTGGATTGCCCAATTGCTATTAAAGTATTGTTCTTAAGCCTCTGCTGCAAGCATCTGGTTCCGCCTTGAATCATGAAGCAATACGTTCTGCAATTCATGTGCCAAAATTAAATTTATCGCTAATCTGTATGAGAATTATATGTTCATAAAAATGATTAGGGAAAACAATAATTGTGCCATGTTTTTGTGTTTTCTTCACTGCACTGTTTCTATAGGTGTAGAGCTTGATATTGCTCGGTTTAATATTGACTACGCTCTAAATCAGTCTATTAAACTAAAGGTGCTCAAGTCTTTCAAGGACTGAACAAGGACATCTTCAGTAAGAATATTATTTCACATCTGCTTCTCCATGATTGATTTTTCAATTTGAATGTAACTAAACAGGTCACTGATGCCATTTGACTGTGATCCATGTGCCAGAATTAAAGGCATTGCTTCTCTATTACATTATTGCTTGTCTGCCGTTAGTAGCAGCAACTAAAATAGGCAAATTATGGAGATGGTACAGCTCTGATGTGCTGCTAAAAAAGAGAACAACATGCTCTGTTGCTGTCTTCCCTCTTCTCGTGTGGACCATTACAAAAATGCATTCCCACCACCAGCAAACTAAACCAGGATTCATCTGGAAATGAACCAAGACCCACAATTTTTGCTTCATTTTTTTGGTGGAGACACAAGTACGTATAGAGCGTTCATGCCTGTCAAAGTGGCGTGAACCACTTCACTAAATCATAATTCATTTTGTACATGCTGTTTTTGTTACTGTGTTTTCAAAACTAATATATTTAAATGACATCTGTGCTGAAAGCTGCTTTTCTTACCCCAGATTTAGTTGACTTCACTCTTAAATATTCAAAGCAAAATATTTGCTTGTTGAACAAAATTCTAGCCTGTCTGCCTGAAATCGGGTTATTAGTCACCTTAATTAATTAGAAATAAGAAATAAACTAGGAAATGTCTAAGGGGATGCAAACTTTTGAGCTTAGATAATTGCTGACATGGATTTCACTATTTTGACATGTAGACAATGTGGTGAGAGTTTAATAGTGAAACATCTGTGAATAAACATAGACTGCCATTTTACAGATACACAGAAAAAAACAAGGGGTAGATTTTCTGTCACTCTGAAACCATGGGGAATACAAACATTTGCACTTAACTTATGTCATCCAAAATATAAGCCTTTATTCTCACCGACTATCCTGTGTCTCGTGAACCATTTACTTAGACTATTAATCTGGTGAGTAGACGATGCACATGTTTAATCAGTTTACTGACTTAGAAGCCTTCTGTGACTGGGTCATTTTGAACAGCGTATAATACTTTTAATGCATTGTAATATTTCTAAAAAAAATTGCTTAAATCGGCAAGTAGAATTGCCAAATCAAATCACAGTTTTGTGCATCTAATTGAATTGTTTGTAATTTACAAAAATCACTTTGAATCTAATCAGAAAACACACACAAATTTTCTATGCCGTTTATCCTTCTGGGTCACGGGGTAATCAGAAAAAGAATTCTATTTTTCTATTTTCAAATGTAAAGATCCACTTGGGATTGTGATGTCTTATAGGTGATCTGCCAGGTTTAGTCAGCCTAGGTGGCTGAGTAGTTGAATGAATCTTCTTTCATACCTGATTTTGGTTGAACTGTAGCGAATGGACCCACTAAATATGTTTTCTGAGCTGACTAACAGATCTTCATGGCTAACAGATCAAAGATCAGAGCAAAATCAAGAAAATCAAATAGAAAAGGACATTTCATTCAATTACTTGGATACAGCCCTAGGCTTCACAGTGAGGGTGCTGATAAACATCAAGCTCAAGCTCATTTTATATTCTAATATGTAACTGCTCCTTTTTTTATTTTCATTTAGGCTTGGGTGTGGAGTTACTGTTCGGATTTGTTAGTTGTTTTAGCTTCTGTTTACCTCTGGAGAGATGGCATATTTGTTGATTGTCAAGTGGTGGTTCTAACATTGCTGACACACACAGTACATACATATACATCAATGCCAGCATTTGTTAGAACTGTGATAGAACTAACTATCAGCAAAGCTTTATTTTACCGCAAAGGAGGATTAGTTTACCTACAAATCTAATTTTGCTGTGGAGCCACAACAGGGCAGTAAAAGCGCCTGTCTCCAAGCAGCAGTTAATTTAAAATACAGACCTGCCCTACAATGCAGACTTGCAAGTTAGGATTCTGGATCCAGATTTCTGACAAGATGCTTTGTGACTATGACTGTTGTTAAAAGAATATTTTTTCTTTGAATAATTTTACCTCAATGAAAGGATAAATTTCTCTTATATCTTCGATTTAAGCTGATAAACAACAAATGCATTTTTTCATAGCCTTTCAGTATTTTTTGTGTTCCTATTTCCTGGTATCCTACTTCTCTGTTTATACTTTCCCTTTTTCTGTGATCTCTGTTTCTAGCTTCTTGTAGTTTCTAGGTTTGACACTGCCTGCCTGTTTGCCTGCTTTTATTATGGATTACCCTGTGTTAATTCTTTCTGCCTGTGCCCTGATCCCCACTACAAACTATGATGTCTAAAAAAGCTTTAATATACATTCTCTGCACATCTCCCGACCTTATGCTCCCTTTCATTACACCTCATAAACAAGCAAGAAATGAACGTGGAAAGAAGACAGAAGATACAAAAACAGCAATGAGTTTCACCTGCTGGGTTAGAGTATCCCAAGGTCCTTGCAGTAGACGTTTTCTGTAGTTTGGGTGAATATTGTTCCAAACCTCTTCAAGGGACAAAAGCCGTCCATCTGTAATGGAAAAATGGAGTTAATAGAAGCCATGGAAAAACAACTGTTATCTTCTGGCACATCAACTCATGTTAAAAACAAGAGGAACCTCAATCCAAACATTACTTAAAGAGGAAGTCACCAAAACAGCATGAGAGGCTATAAACATACCCAGTGTAGATGCTCTGAAGTACAGGATAGGGACCTGATAGCTGCAGGAGTATAGAACATGATATTCATAGCACATCACAGCTTGGTTTTCACATACAGCTTGATCTTCATCATCATCATCCACCTAGAGAAAGAGAAAGTGAGAAAGAGGGAGAGGGAGACTTTTTAAATCCCCAATGCAATGAAAAAATATCCAGTGCTTGATAGAAATAAATGTACTTTATTGATACCTGAGGTATACACATACTCACATACTTACACATACACCTAGCCAAGACATCAGTGCAAAAGCCATGATATGAGGTGCAAAAAAACAATAACATTAAACAAAAAGGAAAGCCTGCCTCATTATTCATACTGAAAGGCTGATAATAAGGTAGCATGCTAAGAGGAGGTATTATGGATCCTGACAGTAGCCGGCAGAGATCCACAAAAAACGCTAAAAAAAAAACGCCAAAAAAAAAGCTTGTCGGTCCTGGATATTGAACCATGTAGGAATTGAAGAAAATTGCATCCCTTTGCATTCCTCTTTAAACCGAGCCTTGCTCGTAGTTCTAGTGCAAAGCTAAAGAAGCCAATTTTGAACACTAAACCTGATCAACATGATTTGGGAGAAACTGTACAAATTTAATTTTTGGCTGAACCATCCCTCTGAGAGCAGCTGCACACTTTATAGCGGTTATGCATATTAAGGTGAATGCTTTAGATAGCCAGATATTTACCATGGAGCAATTTACTCAAGTTTTATTACTACACAGTTAAAAAAGTGCAACAAATGGTCCTTAAAGCAATGCCATAGATGACTCATTTTTAAATGCTAATTTTTATAAAAGAGATGTGAGGGTGTTAAGAACTTTTTAAAAGTTTAATAAGCCTTCATATACTGTAAAGGTTCTTAACATATTTAAGTGCTTTTCCTAGAACTTTTATATTATTTCAAGCTCATTTCAAGGTTCTTCAAATTTACATGTCATTACAAAAAATGTTTCTCATTAAAGGTTCTTTGGGAGTAAAGAAAAAACTATGTCTAATTATTTATCTTTACATTTCCTCATTGCCTTCTTACCCTTCATCTTTTATCATTTTCACAGATTCTCACTCTTGATCTTTCAACAACTGTTACATTACAGTATCTGCTGCTGTTGTACTTACACTTTATCAGGAACACCTCTTGTTTCTACACTCATGTTATCAGCTCCACTTCACAGTTCTACAATTATAGATTGTAGTCCATCTTTTTCTCTGCATAGTTACCCTGACCACTGACCACTGATGATGTACCAGAGGATAACAACACAAACTGTGCAGCAGCACATGAGCTATCATTTCTGACTTTGTGGACCAACAAAGTAGATGTATCTAATAGAGTGGACAGTGAGTGGATACACTGTTTAAGAACTCCAGCAGCATTGCTGTCATTTGTTTGGCTGAAATGAGAACTAGGAACTAAATGAATACGATCAAATATTTGGTAATGCTAACAGATCTTGTAATTTTGATGCACTGTATACAACACTGATTCAAAATTCATCCTATTTTTAAGTGGCACTTGGTTTATTATAACATACTCATGTTCTCAGATGAAATCACATAAGACTGTCATTCTGATCTTTATATTAATAAACTCTGCTGTGAATCTAGCTTTTTCTATTTTCCTATGTATTTTTCTATATTTTCTGTGATGATTGCAAATGCAAAAAACAGATATTCTGTAGATTTTACCTGGTCTTCTACCAGAGCATCCATGTTTTCAGTCTTGTGCTTCCAAAACTGGTTAAGCAAAGAAGAAAATCTTCCAGGTATTAGAACAGTCTTTTTCATGTAGCCTTCTTTAACACCCTAAATGAGAATAAATCAAAGTAATACTCAATGTGGGATGACACTTTAATAGGAGTAGTGTTATATATGCTCATTGTTATATATGTTCAGACATACTGGGTAGATAATTTAGCTTTAGTATACAACTTGATCTTCCAGGTCTTTTATTTTAACAGATAAGAAAATTACACCATTACACAATTACACCAAAAGTATACCATCACTGTCAGAACAAAATATTGAATTTCCACAATGGTAACTTTACAGCAGAAGTAAAAAAACATTCTTAACTTATAACAGAAATTAAGGTAAAGATATATTTTTTCCTGAATAATTTTGGAACATTAGCATTAGCCTATTCATCATAAAATTTTTACACAGTGTAAAAGAAAAAAAAAAAAAAACAAACATGGAGACACAAAGCATCGTTCCAACAGCGACGATATATCACCTTGAACTCTGTCCAGCTCCATCCATCTTTGAGGACACTGGAATGCTGGAGGAAAAGCTGGCAGCAGATATGGAAGCTTTTCTCATCCAGGTAACAGCGAGCAGCACTTGATTCTTCTTTATCTGACATCTGAAAAGAAGAGAATTTGCATTAAAATTAAAAACATTTACTCAAGTACAGTAACTATAGACTTTCAAAAAGTATCAAACACCTTAACCTCATTTATTATTGTTCATTGCCAATATGTGGCCCCAACAAAATGGGGTGCAAGGAGAAATAGAAAAACAATAATTAAATGTTTAATACTAGTGCTCTTAATCAGTCAGCATAGGAACAGTGAAGTGATCCACTTTTATTAACAATAGAAAACATTGCCAATCTTGCACATATAGCAAATAAGCAGTGCAGAAACGCTGAGTACTTACAAGTTTAGTGGCTTATCCGACCTGTAATCTATTTTTTACTTTGATTTAGCCACCAGGTTGTACATAAAACTTTGACGCTATAAGGTATGTTATGGCTTGCAAGGGATCTTAAGCAAAGGCATTTTTTTACTGGCTTAGAAGTATTGACTCCTATCGTGTTCTTGCATGTTAAAATAACAACAACAACAACAACAACAACAACAATAATAATAATAATAATAATAATGCTGCCCGCTAGTTTTCATTTCAGAATTGTTCTAGTCCCCATGACTAGTGGAAAAGCATGTGCCCAGGTGGCTTTTACTAATTCGAAGGAAAAGTGCAAAATATTTAAAGAAGCGCATGACACTCAGTTGCCGTCTTGAGAAAAGATCCTCAGAGTTCGTCTTAAGAAATATGCGTTTATATTCCTTTAAGAACAACTCGTCCGCCCCGGTCAAAAAAACCACAAAGAGTCTGAGTAGTGCTCCTTTTCCAAAGGTAGAACCGGTTCATTTCTGAATAGTTTACTTAAACTTGCTTTGCCTTTATTTTGCCTGAAGTGGTAGCTATGTGGATGTACGTGGTCAGCAGTTCTGCCCATATATTTAGTGAGGCGATGGGCTACAAATGGCGGAATCAATGATCGTAGATAGGAAAGGACGTTTCAGTCAAGTATTCGGACGCAGATTCTGTAGACCAGCTCTGCTGTCTTTTCGGTTTTACCATGCTTAGCTCTTTTGCCCCGCTTATAACGTGACACTATAATTCAGCCAGTCTACTGACGAGCACAACAGTTGCTCCTTAGAGCTGGTTTGTGCAGCCTACTTTGTTACCAAACCTAACTGACCCAAGAGACATCATTTTCATATCACACATATGGTGTTTTGGTATTGTAGAATTAATCTATAGACTACATGGTACTTTTACGACGAAGTAATTTCATTAAAAACAACAGCATTACATAAAGCCAAACTACGAAGTAGCGTGCTGCTATCAATTTTGCCTTACCATGGTGGTTCCATGCCACTTCCGGGATCCCTTAAGCAAAAGGGGAGAAATGTAACAGGAAATGCCATTTAGCAACGGTCTGAAAAGTGGTTGGGCTGTTTCAAACCTGTGTTCTTCTGAGTGTATTTTTCTAACCACTGTATCAACAACTTTTTTGAAAACAAGACATTATTATTACTCATTTTGTTCTACACATATAACACCGTCATCGTGGGTGTTTTATGACCATACATGTTTCATGCAAATGAACATTTTATAAATATTTATTGCGAAATAGCTCAGCTTGCGAGTGTTCAAGAATAGTCTGTATCAGCTGTCAACTACCCGTTAAAAACTCTCAAAAGGAATAGTTTGTCCCAGTATCACATGACCTGCAACGCATGATGTAATTTCCTAAGGAAAAAAGGAGTTGTGCTGTTGCGTCTCATTTTTCCCCCAAATATGTCTTATAAGCTGAGTTACCGTCAACTCATATCACTCGTACATGAAACTGTATTTATATGAAACTATTCTCACTGACCAAGAAATGTTAAGAAATGACAAAAAATAAATAAAATAAGGAGAACCAGTTTCAGTATCAGAATTACTGAGTATGTTTATTAGGGTATTTACCATAACCAGAGTCTGAGAAAGACAAATCCTTAAACTCAATGGCTGTGTCCCTGGAACATGTGGTCAGAATAATGCCTCGACTAAAACCTCTTCACTGTGTCGTGTAGAAATCATGCACCTGCCACCAGATGTCACTGTATCTGAGGTTTATCTTAAAATTGCTGCAGAACTGTAGGATCTGCGTGTAGTCAGTTACACAGCACCTTGTGAGTGTAGGACAGTGGTGGGCCCTTTATTAAGAGAATAGGGACAAAAGAGTGGGCCATGAGATTTTAAGAAATAGGGAGGTTTTAAAAGTAATTGCTACAATACTTGTAGGTTTAAGTGAACTAGTAGTTTTTATTTTGTATGTAATTAAATAGGACAACATTTCAGAAAATTGTGTGTTGAAAAATGAACACATGTTGACATAATTATATCATAAATGCAAAATTGAATGTATGATTTCCTTAAATGAAAATGGCATAATAAATAATTTTTAAAAATATATTTGCATTTTGACGCTATATGGCAACAGCATGTGACACGGGGCATGCAATCTGCAATGCATACAAAGGCAGCATATATGGAGTTTTTAATAAAAACAAAAAAATCATTGCATTTTATATTATATAATCATTGTATTCATATCTGTGGGATTCCGGTTACCAATTAATGAATCAAAGTCAATATGGACCAAATTATCAGTTATGAAAAAGGTTGTTAGTTGCAGTCCTAGTTGAATGTCTTTTTATACATCTAAAAAGAGGACACTACCTTACTATATCTATTGCCCCTGTGTCCTTGATTAAAGAGCTCATGTGATACACTGTTCCACTACGGCTAACCATGCATTCTGACACCTTCACCCAAGTCTGTGTAAAAGAATACAGTGTCTATATGTACATGAAATGTGTATAAATTACTTTCTTTCCTTTTTCCTATGGTATTACAGCATTAAAACACAATTATACTATGTATACACAGTATAATAAATTAAATATGATTTTTTTTTTCTTGCAGTTGTTTATTGTGGTTTAGTCTTTCTTTTATTGCTAAACACAAAGTAAGGCTTTTATACAGACACAGAGAAGCTGATTCTCCATTAGCTATCCAGAGTATGTTCCAGATCTCTTGATATTCTTACTGTAACTTGCAACATAACAGCTCTGACTATTCTGGCAGCAAAACAAGGCTGGGATGCAAGCAGTATTAACAGTAAGGTATCATTGTGTGAGAGCCACCTCATCTTTTACTGTTTATGCATTACCTAATACCCTACATGCCAATGCACACCAACTATGCCTGTGTTCCAGATTAGTGTGTATGTGCATGAGAATCCAGAGCCACTCTGTATAAATGTGGAGATGGATGTTTAGACTCCAGCCTTCTACACCTTCTCTGTGCTAGCAGACCTCAGATTGCGACCTTACTGGGACAAACAGCTCCTATATACAGTATGTGGTAAATACATATTAGAACGATTAGAAATATGCAGTACTCTTATAACTGAACATGGCATTTTGTGAACACAATGAGGAATAATCTTTAGAGTTCAGTCAAATGTAAGACTAAATTGTAAGACAGAAACAGGTTTAACTAAGCCACTGTGTTTAGAACTTGAACTTTGGAATGGGCAAAAGAATTGAGTTTGAATGTGACATGATGGTAGTGCTTCATGTTCCAGTTCCAGTATTTCCTAAATGACTGTTGCCTGTAGCTTTTCATGAATGTCTGTTTCAAGAGTCTACTGAGAATGCTGTTTTTAAAATTGTGGCTCAACGGGATCAAAGAAGAATGGGGAGCACAATACCCAGGGATGCAGATTTCAGCGTTGGTTAACTGTAACTGTGTATAATGAACTTAGAGCTTAAAATAAATGTCATCTTTCACTTTATGCTTTTTGGAAATTAGGTCAACTTTTACTTGCTTAGCTATTCACAGTAACAGAAGTTATGACCAAAGGTGGCCAAACTTTTGCATGCCACTGACTAATTTATGATAGTTAACTCACCTTACCATCACATAGCTTACCTCATATTGTATCTTACAGCACAGCACTGCTGAAGGAACCCAGTGCACTGGGTTGCCTGTTTGCTAAGCAAATTAGCCTAGATACACTAATTATTAAATACAGTGTCATACTTTATAACTGATTTGATAACTATCTTGATTTTCACCATAAAATGTAAGTGATGCTTTATTGATGATGGTTGACTGGCTGTCTCACTTTCCCTTGGCTATGCCTCTACATGGGGAGGTGGGGTAATGTCATTTCTCAGTAACTTCATTCCTCTCTGAATCCGCCACGTCAGTATTTTTTTTTTATGGACTGCTCGCTCTGTGACGATTTCTTACCTATTATAAAATGATTCATTGAAATAACCCTTTTATCTTAAGTATGGAGGTGCTTGTTTAAAGCCAAACATTATAACATGTAGAATGACAAAAAAGATTTTATGTAGTGATGTTGGCTGTTGGCTTTTCATTTCCAAGCAAATTATACATTTCATTTACTTAAGATACCTTTGTAGAAGGTAAGAGTAAATGAAATCAAATGAAATTTTGGACAGTTTCTGCTTGTGAGCAGTCAAAAGTATTGCATATGGAACTTTTTTGGTGTGATGGTGATGTGTAAATTGAGAAGCCAACCCCATCTCTAATTTATACCCAGATTTTTTATCTTGTGCCAATAGGCCATATACATTACAGACATCCTGTGGTAAAATTATATTACCCCACTTCCCCATGTATAACAAACTCCTCACCTACCCTCCTTCTTCACACAAACTTCAGATTTTATCCAAGTCTCTGAACACACTGATTAAGATCTATCACCTCTTGTTTAGGAAATGGACTGTCTTAAGGATATTAAAGCCTGGATGACCTTAAATATTTTAAACTTTAATGAGAACAAAACTGAAATCCTGAATTTGAATTCAGTGGTGCTTGTAATATCCCTCATATGAATCTACATTCTCTGGACACGGATGTAAAACCTACTGTAAAAAATCTAGGTGTGATAATGGACAGTGATTTTAAATTAGACAAACAGATTAACTCAGCGGTTAAATCTACCTTTTTCCAACTGAGGCTCTTATCTAAAGTAACTTTTTCTTATCTAAACACTTTTTATCTTTCAATAATTCAATAATAAGGGTTATCCATGCTTTTATTTTGTCCAGACTTGACTTCGTACCCTCTTACTGGCCTCTCTTCTTTGGCTCCCTGTACATTTTAGGATTGATTTTAGGATACTATTGTTTGCTTATAAATTGTTAAATGGGTTAGCTCCAACTTATCTTTCTGACCTATTACAACCATATGTTCCATCAAGGGCACTTAGGTCTGCTGATCAATTCCCTTCGACTGTCCCTAAATCAAGGTTGAAGCACAGGCGAGATCATGCTCGTTTTAAGCAGTTTTAATGTGTATGAATTTCATCAAAATATTACATTTAAGGCTAAAGTAATTGGTATTGTACATTATCTCTTATGAATGAAATGGGGTCAAATTATCTGTGATGTCATCGCTATAACGGTCACTGTGTTATGTGCATAGCGAAATGGTAAGTAGAAAGGATGAGCTCTGCTCCTAAAAATAATATAAAGTGTACATTACACTTTGTAAACAACTGCTCTTATTTGTTTAGTATGTTAATATTAGTGAGTGACCAGAAAGCCGCTGGATACAGAGTAGTCCACCTCTTAACGGTAAACAAACTGTCTTACTGTGGTTTACATTTTGTTGTATAGGAGCTGAGAGCTGTAGTCTGTGCCTTTTAATGACCAATGGTTTGTTCTTGTGTTTGTCACGTATGTTTATTTCATTATTTTTACTTTATTAATATCTTTCTATGTATTTCTATTGTTTTAGTAATCATTGTTTCTGAATGTAATGGCCTGTTATTGTTGCCATAGTAACATAACAGAAAATGGGTTCTTGTCAGTCAGCTGCATGGTAGATCATATCAAATCAAAACAAACTGATATAATTTCTTATTTTTATGGTATCTAATCTATACAATCACACTTCTTACGGGCACTGCATTATGTGCATAGCGAGACGGAGCTGAGAGCTGTAGCCTGTGCCTTTTAATGACCCCAACGTTTTGTTCTTGTGTTTGTCAGCTAATAAACTTGGCACAATGCCTGAACCCAAAGCTTTGGTGAAGAATCGTTACTCGCACAAAGTGGTCACAGACCGATACAGAGGGGTTACACCCCCAAACTCTGAAATGTTGCTTTCACATGTTAGGCTGGCCCCTACACTTTCTGTTTGTAAATGCTGTCTTAAAACACACTTTTATTCTTTGGCTTTTGATTTAGAGTGAGAGCTGCTCATCTTTTGTGTTGTTACAATAAGACTGTATGTACTTACTGTCTTTTTTTTATTATTATTTAACAGGTTCTGTGTTTCATTGCCTGTTTTATAAGTTTTCCTACATTGAGTGTGCAGTACTTTGGTCAACAACTGTTTTTGAATGTGCTCTTTATTTAAATTTACAATGACATTGACAAATGGGTAAAAGTTCATTTTTAGGATATCAGGTACACCACACACAATGCTGTTGCATATTGTACAGTTTTAAAAGCTTGTCAGAGTTGCTAATGACTTGTTACAGTTGCTACATAACAATTAGACAGTAAGTGCTCGGGGAAGGTTTTAGAGAAGGGTTGGCGTAATGGGGAAAATGCAGCATGGGCAATGACTAACATAGCCAATTTGTAACCTTGCAGAGCCTACTTTAGGGATACCTGGTAAAAAGTACTCTGCGATCATATTCCTTGTAGGTAACAGAATAATTAGGTACATTTGGCCACTCTTGCTCAAGTGTTGCTCTACGCAGTTGCCTAGATTACCTATATGGAGCACTGGCCTTAATCACAGGTCTTGCAGAGCTCAAGCTGGCCACTGCATGCCGTTCAGTTATACACATAATTGTAAACATGATTTGACAGTTCAACCTAAAAAAATACTTTATGTGGTAACAAGCAATTTAACTGTTTATTAACTTGCTGTTACTCATTGGCAGTTTTGTTCATGTAATTCTTCTGTTAATATTTTTACTGGAAAATGTGCTTATGTGTTTAAATCAAGTTCTGAAATTCTTAAGTTTTTTCCTTTCTGTCATCGCCTGCTTCAGTCCACTGCTGTTCCCACAATCTCCCGAACAAGAGTCCAAGGACAACACCGTTGCTAAACTTATCAGTCACAAACATGTCCAAAACTGGGGAGATTATGAGTCTGATCATCTCTCAAAAGAGTTTATTAACACAGAGATTAATAACTGATCATCGCATTGATTTATCAGTCTGCTCAGGCTTTAGCAGAGCCCAGTAACACTGAGATTAATAACTGATAATCACATTGATTTATTAGACTACCCAGGCTTTAGCAAAGCTCAGAAACACTGAGATTAACTGACCACCACATTGATTTATCAGTCTTCTGAGGCTTTAGCAGGAACTTTAGTGTTTGTAATAAGCCATTAATTGAGGTCCTCTTTAGAACTTGTCTAATGAGCATGTTTGCTACATGCTGTGTATTGATTTTAAATAATAAACAAACACTGATGTGTTTCTTTTAAAGATTTATTTTTATTTAGTGGTTAAGTATTTTTAAATCTCCTAAAAATGTTAAAAGTAACTATTCTGAATTCTGCACTTACAAAATGTACACACACTTAATTTATGTATTCTTATGTATTTGGTTATGACATTGTCATTCTATAGTGTTTCTCTTATAACAATGTCATGTGCTGGCCCTGACACCCAAATACTTCTACCTAGAAAAAAATCATTTTAAGTAGGTTGCACTATTAATAAATGGAACGTGATATTTTACATACATTATTTTGCTGATAATTACATGAATATTGTTGTAACTTCATACTAAAGTGGCCTGTTAAGCCCCAATCTCTGATGAGGGTGAAAAAGCATGAAGCTGTCTAATATTTTCTGACACAACATTCCTGTATTCATCTCTGTTATAAGGGGTTTATACACTGCAACCATACTATAACATCTCTCTCTCTGTAGTTGCCAACAGACTGTTCTGATTATGTCCTGCATTGACATTTTGAGTCACCTAAGGAACAGCTACTCTCAAGGCCAACTGGGCTTGCTCAACATTTTTATACATACCACATTGCATGGTAGTATGTTAATTGCTTAATTGTATCATGCAGTATACCTGTCGGGAAGTCTCTGTATTTGTTATGTGTCTCCACTTATTTATAAACATTTTCCTTTGTCATCCATCAATAACGATACCTTATGAACTAGTACCTTCCTGTACTGCCAAAGGGTATTAATGCTTTGCATATCCTGTGCCCAGAAAAGTTTGTGTAGAATTTTACTTAATGGTACAGTAAATAAATGGTATGTCCTAAATAACAATGTAAATACTAAAGTAATTACTTTGTATGTTGAAATACAGAATACTGCAATTGTTATGCTTTTTATATCTGGATAATGTACAACAAAATAAAAAAGTATTCTCAGTACTGCAAAACCTAAGAGTTTATGCTTAATAAATGGGTTACTAAATCTGCATTCGCTCTCCTATAGGTGTCTTATTATAGTGGGATATTAGCTGGGATATTAGCAGGCTGGTCTGAGTCTTTGGAGGAGACAGCCATGTCCTACATTTCTTTTCTTGAGAAAGATGTACTAAAAACTCCCTTCTGAACACACTATTGCAACTACAACATTTTCTAAAAATTGTCTTTAAAACAGAATTCCCACTAATATCCATGTACCCTGTCCCATATTTCAATCTAGACCATCTTTAAAAGTAATAAAAGATGAAAAAGGCATTTTATGGCATTAGAAATAAAACAAGTTGTCAGACTCAGGTTGTAGTTTATGCTGCTTTATAACCTTGCTAATTTGCTAATCAACACAAAATCTGTTTTTTTTTTAGCATACAGCAATACTGATTACGATATACTGAGTAACCTACCTGTAATTAAGTAGTTTTTGTGTAACTGAGTGCAATGCTCCTCACCAGTTAAATTATGCAAATCTAGCTCATTTTAAATGACATGCATTAGCTAGCTACGCTACATTTGTTACCATAAAAAGTTCTGAATAATTTCCATAATGAATTGCAACACCTACTAAGTGAAAATCAGGGTCAAATCTGGCAAGACTCATTACTCTACATAAGATACAGTCATATGCAAATGTTTGGCCACCCCATGTTTGCAATAGTTTTAAAACAATTGATCAGAATGCACCAAAACACATGTGTAATAAATTTTGATAACAGGTTTTATGAAATCATTTTAACAGCTTTTGAATGTTTGATTGGAATGCTCCAAAACAACTCTATTAAGTGCAATAAAATGTACACTTCCGACAGGTTTATGTGAATTAATTTTAATAGCTTTTGAACAGTTGACCATTTTGCTCCAAAACAAGTTATACTTAACCAAGTACAATCCACATGATGTGCTGCACCTAATATATTGGCAAATTTAACAACTTCCAAACTCTAGTAACAGGTTTAATAACTTCAACTTCTGTTGATTTGCAGTGAAAGGTTTTTGTGAATTATTCAATAACTTCTGAGTGGTTCACCATGTTGCTCCAAAAGATGTGTAATGAAGTGCCTTCTACATAACATACTACACCTCTAATGTTGGCAGCTTTAACTGCTGAATTCTAATGATAGTTTTCTATGAAATAATTTGAACAGATTTTGAATGGTTGACCAAAACAAGATGCATTTAATAAAGTGCAACCTACAGGACGTACCAAACCTCATAGTAAATATAACTTCATCAAACTGAAAACGCAATGATTAAAGCTTTTTGTGTAATAATTTCAATAGCCTATTGAAATTGCTCTAAATAAGTGGCATATACTCAAGTGTAACCCACATGACATGCTACGCCTATTATGAATCTTTATGAATATTAATGAGTTTCTCCCACACATCCTACGAAAAAAGTGTGTCTATACTCACAAGCAGCACAACATTCAACATATCTTTTACATTCCTTAAAAGATGATGCCCAAGTTAATCCTTAGTGCAAGCTTGAAATGTTTATTTGAAGTATGGTTGCTCTATATATTGATAATTTACAATTGTTGCATTTTTTGCAACATATACTACAACTTGTAATACAAAGAATTCAGAGCAATGAGTACTGTAATCGCAGGCACACTAACAGCAGAATATTAAAATTTACCTTTCAGTTTTTTCTTTGAAAACAAACATCAATAACTAACAGCACATTTTGGTAGCTCAGCTCAGAAGACCACTTAGACTTAGCTCAGAAGACCACCACCTTAGTCTTCTTGGTTGGCAAATTCTTCACAGAAACACAAATGTCCTCCTGATCAGCACTTGTCTGGTTGGACAGGCGGCTAAGGGTGATGGAGTTTGCTGCGGAAGAAAGTGAAAATTCAAAATACATCATTCCGTAATTTAAAGAATATGGACAAAAGAATTACTTATATTAAACCAAGGATACCTAGAGACACTCTGGTCAAAATCACAAATTTAACCGTCGTTATATGTTATTAATACGCCACTTGCATCCTACAGCAGTACCACAGTAGTCTCCAGAGTGAAATTTTCCTGTGGATTATTATAAACATTATTGTCCAATTATCATTACAATGGAGAGAATGGATTACTTGAATGACAGAAATGACTAGTCAGATGTAGTTGGAAGTGCTGCACATTTTTACATTTTTTTGGTGTATTTACACTCTTTCCTTGTTTTGCAAACAGATTTTTCTCAGAAAACAGTAAAATTACACTAATGCTACCTTGGTTGTATTTTTTACCCTGTTATTGGCTAGGCTAGCAGTCAGGATTGGTTGAGCACAGGGATTCCCAAAGGTTGGATGACATCTTTACATAATGCATGATGGGTATTGTATTGAAAGAACAATGAAGAACGAACATAATCAATTCTGGCAAACCGATGAACCTAAGGGATATAATTCTGTGATACAGTAGCTTAAGCAGAGAATTCTAATTATTTCAGCAGCATGTTTGAAAAATATGGTGAAAATGTTTTATATTGCTAGTGGTGCCTTAACCTTAACACATCATTTGCTAGTGGGGTAACACACCTAACAGGAAAGTCTGTAAGCTGTACAAAATAAAAAAAATAGCTAATTCACTAAATGTAATCTTAATTACGTTTTTTCTATACTTAAATTCTGGGAAATAAGGAACTTATGATATTCATGGACAGGGTGTCAAGGCATAGCCGAGGTCAGGAGGACATTATGTGTGGAGGTTGGAGGGTGGCGTCTCTGCTATTTGCAGATGATGTCCTTTCAGCTGGATCTGAAGTCTGAAGTGGTTGGTATGAAGATCAGCACCTCCAAGTCTGAGTCCATGGTTCTAGCCCAGAAAAGGATGACATACCCACTACAGGTAAGGGGAAAGGACTTTCCCCAGGTGTAGAAGTTTTAGTATCTCGGGGTCACGTTCACGAGTGATGGGAAGAGGGATCGTGAGATCGGCTGCAGACTGGGACAGGCGGCAGCAGTAATGCGGTCACTGTAACAGGCTGTAGTGGTGAACAGGAAGCTGAGCCATAAGGCAAAGCTCTCTGTTTACCGGTCGGTCTACATCCCAACCCTCACCTATGATCATGAGCTGTGGGTAAAGACCGAAAGAATGAGATCTCCACCGCATTGAGAGGAGCCAATTGAGGTGGTTGGGGCAACTGACCAGGCACGGCCTACTGGGACGAGACCCTGGGGTTTTCCTAGGACCCGCTGGAGGGATTACATCTCCAAGTTGGCCTGGGAGTGGCTTGGGGTCCCCCCGAATGAGCTGGAGGAAGTTGCGGGGGACAGGGTCATCTAGGATTCTCTGCGCTCACAACTGCTACTGCGACCCTATCTGGACTAAGCGGTTAATGATGATGATGAGGATGACAACTGATGAAATTGTAGGACATCTACTCTTCTGTAGGTGTCTGTGTTTGAGTCTGTTCCTGGTCCTTAGGAATCCTGTCTGTGTTCCAGTTTATCCTAGTCCCATCTGTGTCTAATCCTGTGCATATTTTCTATGTGTCGTTGTGCATTGTTTCAATGTTACATCTTAGCATCAGTAGCTATTTTAAAATATTATTGAAATTAAAGGAACAGCTTGATGCGCCCTTCGATTAAGGATATATTTATTGTGGCTCTTGTGCTTACTTACAGGATTCTGGGATATGCCTTGTCTTTTTGGATACTGTTAGCCTGGTTATTGTGTCCAATTTGTAAATACTGGAACATTTTTGCTGGGGGTTTGGTTTATCTGTGTTTTCTGTTTTTACCAGGCAACTTATGCTTATGCTACACGTCTAACCAGGGCAGGTTAAGCTCAGAATTTCAGATCAAAAAAAGCTCCTGGACAAATCAAGGTCAAGCTTTAACAAAGAAATCATACTACATACAGTCAGTTCCAGAATTATAAGCACCTCTCCTATAAAAATAAACAGTATAATTTTTTAGTAACTTTTCAAATGTTCCTCAAAAATATTTAGAAAAACTGCTTAGCATCTAATTGAAATCATTCCAACAAGAGTGCTGTTTTATTGTAATATAATTGTGTATTCTTTCAAAAACACTGGGGGCCCAAATATTGATACTCCTAAAGAATATTTCAAGAAAACTAAAAAAATTTGCATCTTTGGTGTAAAAAAAAAAAGTTTCTTTTTATTGCTCTTGGTTTCCAGGAACTCAATTGTTGTCTATGACAATTTTCTGTTTCCCTGCGGTATAAATGAGGTGTTACACTTGTAAAATCCCTTTGTCATTTAGCAACATGGGTAAAACCAAGTCTTCAAATATTAGAATACACTGTCAGACACCACGTCCACGTCTAGATGCCTTTTGGAAGAGTTACACGAAAGAAGCTTTTCCTAAGAGCAAGCCACAAACTCTGCAAAATTGCACCGGAACTACAAATGGAAATCATGTGACATACTCAGATTTTGCAAAAACTTACCTTTTTGGCCTTGTACACCATTGTCACATTTAGTGGAAAAAAAGGACTGCATACAGTGAAAAGCTCCTGATATTCACTGTCAAATATGGTGATAGATTGTTAATGCTTGTAAAAATCAATGGCATAATGAATTCCGCTAAATACCAGGAGATTGTAGCCTAAAATCTGTCTGCTTCTCCTAGAAGACTAAAACCTAGTCGTGGGTTGACCTTTCAGCAAGACAGTGACCCCAAACACATCCACATGGAAATGGTTTCAGGAACACATAATTATTTACAAAAAGTAATTTATTAAAAATAATCAGTTCTGGGTGGCGGGTTGGGGGCAGACAATTCAAGAATAATGTTTCTCACCATAAAATAGCAAAGAACTTTTGCTTTTCCATCAACACACACACTTTCTATGCCGCTTATCCTTCTGGGTCGCAGGGGGAAGCTGGAGCCTATCCCAGCAGTCATTGGGTGAAAGGCAGGATACACCCTGGACAGGTCACCAGTCCATCGCAGGGCAGACAGATAGACACATACATTCACACCTAGGGGCAATTTAGCATGTCCAATTAGCCTGACTGCATGTCTTTGCACTGTGGGAGGAAACTGGAGTACCCGGAGGAAACCCACACAAACACGGGGAGAACATGCAAACTCCACACAGAAAGGACCCTGGTTGCCCGGCCAGGGAATCAAACCCAGGCAATACAGTGTTCTCTGTATACAAGGGACAAGGCCAAAAACCAGTATTTGATGGCTGTGATCTTTGGGCCCCCAGGCAGCACTGCATTAAAAACAGACAGGATTCTGCAGTGGAAATCGCTGCATGGACTCAGGAACATTTCTGAAAACCACTGTCTGTGAACACAGTTCATCACTGCATCCACAAATGCAAAACTCTAAAACTCTAAAACTCTAAAACGTAAAGAAAAAAACATACATAAACAGGATCCAGAAACACCGCCACCTTCTCTGGACCCAAGATCATTTAAAATGGACTGAGGAGAAGTGGAAAAGTGTCCTGTGGTCATTGTGAAATTTTTTTTGGAAATCATGGATACTGTGTTTTCCAAGCTAAAGGGTCCATGTACCTTCTGTTCATTTGATTTTCATTTTAAAAACCAGTATTGAAAACGGCAAATGGGTCGATTCTCGTTTCTGGTTCTGTTATTGTCAGTGGAAAAATCATGAAATAGCTTCGTTTTACAATTTCACAAATTAATCATAAAATCAAATAACAAACAAACAGCAATGGAATAAAGGGTCATATTCTAATGACCCAAATAAAAAAATTCACAAAATAATCATAAAACCAAAAAACAACAAACAACAATGGAATAAAGGGTCGTATTCTAGTGATTCAAATTCAGAATTTCCCATCATAAGCGGAAATAAACCTGCAGAGCGCAGGTATGGAAGCTCAGAAATCAGAGATATCAGGCCTGTGGTGTATTGGTCGGCTATATTACCTTTTGTATAAGCGTTTGTATATTTGACGTGCACACACTATATGAGAAAGAAATGATATGGGGAAGAAACTGAACTCCCACCATTTGACGGCGGCTTCGTGCTCCCCAGATCAGTTGCCGATGCACTCAAGTTCAAGGAGTATTCTGCCAGTATGCTGCCGACCTCTCCTATGTGTGCGTGCGCATCATACAGGCATATAGACACTAGATTACATTCAGTCTTTCAGTCATAATGACCAGTACTGTAGCCTCTTGGTGAAGAAGGAGACTCAGGAGAGACTGTCATTCTGCTAGAGAAGTGCTCTTTATTGTCACCTGCAGAAAAGACACATACAGGGCAGCCCTTAGCAATGAAGGTCACCTCCACTCCCTCCGCTTCATGGTAGACACTTAACCCAACTAACTAAACACACCCAGGCCAGGGGGGCAAGGGGGTGCTGAAGGGTGCTGAAGGCCCCCTGAAAATCATTCAGTGCCCACATTATCTCCCATGAAAAATGTTGAATTCCCTCGTTTGATTCAGACCGTCGTAAAAAAACACTCCCAGAAGCGAACAGAACACAAAGACCCCCAGCGCAGCTCTAATGCGCCTCTAAAGCTCCTTTCCCCCCAAAACCGGAGCCAGTGCTGCCACCACATGGTTATAAGAACACTATGATCACAGGACAGCGTACATGGCGGGAGTCGTATCACGTGTCAGCGCAGTTTTTTGCTAATAGAACGAAGTCATATATAAAACGTTATATAGTCTTCCATAATGCCAGATCTAGGCTGACCTTTTCAATACTCACGCTCGATCTTTGCTGGCCTCACCATTTTTTAACTGCGACAGCCTGATTTCTGAGCTCCTGCAACCACACTGCTCTCTGCATGTTTATTTTTGTTTAATTTGAATCAGTAAAATCAACTCCTTATCCCATTGCTGTTTGTTTGTTATTTGAATTTTTGATTAGTTTGTAAAATTGTAAAATGAAGCTATTTCTTGTTTCTCAACTGACAATAACAGAATCAAAAACAAGAATTGACTCATTTGCCGTTTTTCAATGCTGGATTTTGAAATTAAAATCAACTGAACAGAAGGTACGCGGACCCTAAAGACCACTCAGCTTTTTATCAATGTTCAAAATCCAGCATCCGTGATGGTATGGGGTGCATTAGTGCATATGGCAGGGTTACGTGCACATCTGTGAGGGTACCATTAATGCTGATATATATGTGTTTTGGCAACATATGCTGCCATCCAGACGTCTTTTTCAGGAAATGCCTTGATTACTTCAGCAAGACGATGTAAAACCACATTCTGCAGTTATTACAGCAGCATTGCTCCGTATTAAAAAAGTCCAGGTGCTAAACTGGCCTACCTGCAGTCCAGACCTGTCACCCACTTAAAACATTATGAAATGAAAAATATGACAAAGGAGACCCCGAACTGCTGAGCAGCTAAAAATCCTATATCAAACAAGAATGGTAAACATTTCACTTTCAAAACTACAGTAATTGGTCTCCTCAGGTCCCAAACTTACAGTGTTGTTAAAAGAAGAGGTGATGAAACCCAACTTTTTGGAACATGTTGTTGGCATCAAATTCAAAATGGGCATATATTTTCCAAAAAACAATAAAATTTCTCAATTTCAACATTTGTCTTTTCAACATTGTCTTTGTAATATGTTCCTTATTCAATATGGTTTACATGGTTTGACAAATCTTTAAAAACTTTAAACAAATTAAAGCAACGGGCAAGACTCCTTGCAAGACCTCACCTGAGGTCTGGTGCTCAGGGCAGTCCTTCTGGAAGTGTTCCACTGAACCACATACACGACAGCAGCCCCCTGAACAAAACACCATGACCTCAGTGTTAATAAGGATCTCTGAATCATTGCATGAAAAGTTGTACAAAGTGAGAACCACAATTATTTAAGTATGTTTTTCTTTTTTTTCCTGTGTAAGTTATTTTTTAAAACAAGGCTGTCCAAGAACACACCTGCAGCATACAGTCCTTTTGGGTTATCAGGGCAGGATTTGGATAGGTGACCGGTCTGGCCACAAATGAAACATTTGGCATAGGCATAATCACCTAGAAAAAAAGACAGTGTTATTTAAATAAGTGTTATTAAGATTCAGGTGTATAACACTGAGTAAGAATTTTGAAATGTAAAATTTAGAATTTAATATATTGGTCCTTAAGCATCACTGTCCTTCACATATTACTTTTTCGCCTGCTCCACCATATCCACTCTGGAAGGGATCAAGTGTAATAGGGGGAATTCCAGGACAAAGTTGGGGAAACACTGATTTAGTAAACAAATCATGGTCAAACATAAAAAGTGCATCAGTACAAGCTCTTCCACATGTAAGAAGGAAAAAAAAGTCAACCCTCTGCATAGTGCTTTCCCCACTTTCTGATATAGGTAGCTTTTTTACAATTAAACTTCAAAAAGGTAGGGACGTTCATGTACTACTATTCACAAAAAACACAAATGGAAACAGAAATGGAAAACCCCCAGTAAATCATTAATCATTCTTTCTTTACACTTGACTATGACACTCATTCTACATCCTTACCTAGAGCAGGGTCCACTTTAGCTCTACACATCTGGATCTCATGCTCTGTAGAGCCACAACGATAGCAGATCCCTCTGCCCAACTCTTCATCATTATCAGCCTCTGGGCAGTTGGCCAGTCCATGGCCAAGCTTTCTACAGTAAAAGCACACCTGAACATAGTAAACAGGAATAAATGAATTTGTATGAAGCCAACATACCACCCACTCACAAAATGTAACCCCCATCTTCATCAATATCCAAAGCTACATACCATATTGTTCTTTTTAGCATTCTGTCTCTTAACCCTTCGGACTCCTCTTCTTTTGTCTTTTTCAATTGCTGTGACTACAACGCCTCCCAAAGAGGCTCCTTTACGTGGTCCTAGGGCTAGTGACTGCCGTGGCTGTTTCAAATAATCCATAAACCCATTCACATCAAGTTCTCTTTCATTGTTAGCTCTCTTTCTACCAGGGCGTGGCTGAATGTGCCGTGAACTATGTGATGCACCATCCCAGGCACGTGTACCTGAAGAACTGCCTCTTCTTGATCTTGTGTCAATTTCATTGATCCTTCCAGCTTTACCTGCCCTTAGTTGGCTCCATGGTGTAGCCTCTGTTGCTTTGTGTTTATGAACATTGTTAGCTCTGGCCCACCGTGTCATTGTTTCACTGCATGAAGAGAGCATTCATATTAAAAAGTCACTCTGTCTCTCAAACAATTTGTCAACAAATTATAGAGTTTATGCACACCTTAAGGTAAACACCACCACCAAGACTGTAGTGAGAACAGAGCAACAGTTTGAACTGTAATGTAACTTGCAGACTGGATGGAAAACAACTTATGCAAGTTACAGCTGCCTTGCCCTAGGACTGCAACAGTTTAAAAGAACATACAAACAGGGATTTGCAAACAATTTTGGTTATATCGAATTTGCAGCATGCATGTAATGATTCTTGAAACATTTATGAGCTGAGTGATGCAGAATAAATGATTTAGATATTGGGGAATAAGAAAATGCAACAATGTTTTATAAATATTGGTAATTTGTCACTGCCTATATTTAAACAAAGTTGAAGTAATGACAAACAAAATATCGGAGGAGTGGAACAGTCAATGTTTCAGGTTTGTTTCAGGTGCAAAAGATAAAAAAAGACATATATGAAATCCAAATAAACTATTTTAACCTTGTTAGTTCACGTTGATTGTTAAATTACCATGATTCATCATGCCTGATGATGGGGGCAACAAAAGGCTGGTAAAGTTGTGCAATGCTTTAAAAAAAAACAAACACCTGGTGGTCAACTGGCAACAAGTCAGTAACATGATTGGGTATAAAAAGAGCATCCCAGAGAGGCTGAGTCTTTCAGAAGTAAAGATTGGGAGCAGTTCACCACCCTGTGAAAGACTGCAAGCAAATAGTGCAACAATTCAAGAATAACGTTTCTCAATGTAACATAGCAAAGAACTTTTGCTTTTCATCATCTATGGTACATAATATCATTAAAAGATTCAGAGAATCTGGAGACATCTCTATAAACAAGGAACAAGGGCAAAAACTAATATTGGCTGCCCGCGATCTTTGGGCCCTCAGGCAGTACTGCTTTAAAAACAGACATGATTCTGTAGTGGAAATCACTGCACGGGCTCAGGAACACTTCCGTTTGTCACTGCATCCACAAATGCAAGTTAAAACTCTAAAACACAAAGAAGAAACCACATATATACAGGATCCAGAAACACTGCCACCTTCTCTGGGCTGGAGCTCATTTAAAATGGACTGAGGGGAAGTGGAATAGTGTCCTATGGTCTGACAAATCAACATTTGAAATTCTTTGTGGAAATCATGGACACTGTGACCACTAAAGACCACTCAGCTTGTTATCAGTGCATGGTTCAAAAGTCAGTATTCATGATGGTATAGGGGTGCATTAGTGCACATGGCATGGGTGATGTACACATCTGTGAAGGCAACATTAATGCATGAATGATATTTACAGGTTTTGGCAACATATGCTGCCATCCAGATGACGTCTTCTTCAGGGAAGACCTTGCTTATTTCAACAAGACAATGTCAAACCACATACTGCATGTATTACAACAGCATTGCTTCGTATTAAAAGAGTCCGGGTGCTAAACTGACCTGCCTGCAGTCCAGACCTGTCACCCACTGAAAACATTTGGCGCATTATGAAATGAAAAATACAAAAAAAGGAGACCCTGAACTGTTGAGCAGCTGAAATCCTATTTCAAGTAAGAATAGGAAAACATTTCACTTTCAAAACTACAGCAGTCGGTCTCCTCAGTTCCTAAATGCTTACAGAGTGTTGTTAAAAGAAGAGGTGATGAAACACAGTGATAAACATGGCCCAGTCCCAACTTTTTTGGAACATGTTGTTGGCATCAAATTTAAAAAGGGGCATATATTTTCCAAAAAACAATAACATTTCTTAATTTCAACATTTGATACGTTATCTTTGTAGTATATTCCCAACTTTTTTGGAAATGGAGTCTGTGTACATACATACATACATACATACATACATACATATGGGTATGGGTCGTTTTAGCCATTTGTTAAACCTACACAGTTGGTTTCAGGAAGCTTGTCTAGCGAATAAATTGCTTTTTATCGACAATTTTAATATTTTCTGGAACCATCCATCTTTTTTATAGGAATGATGGCATTCATCCCTGCCAGCTTGACTCGCAGATTTTAAGTCATAACGTGTTTTACTCAGAATTGACTGCCTGAAATTAGAAATGATTCAGCTATCCCTGTAGTCATTAGCACTCAACCTAGGATCAACCATTCAAACAACGGAACAAAGCGAAAAGGAAATTTTATCAACCAATCTAATCTTATTAGCATTAGCATCTTGGTCACCCCTCTGCCCCCAAACTGTTTAACAGACCCCGAAACCTATGCTTGCAGCAAAATTATTAACAGATCTTAATAGTTTTAAGCACAGAAAAGGAATTTTCCCATTCCAGCTTAAATGGTGCATCAGTCAGCTTGTTCAAATTATCCTGTTCCACCTTAAATGGTGCAGCTTCAGGCACCAGAAAGTGACTGCTGCACCATTTAAGTTGAACGGGGAAAATTCGAACAAGAAGCTGGCGAATAGGAAGCCAACTTCAGCTTTGTCCTTCTTACTGGTGTTTTGGGGATTATTTTATTTTTATGTGCATTATGATTAGAAGTGATTCACACATTGATGGATTTGCTGATGTGTGTAATGTTGTGTTTCTACTCACGCTAAACTCGGTTTTTAACGTCAGGTGCAGACTGAATACTTTCCTGCTGGTCCGGACGGCTAATTAGCACGATCAGTTATTAAAAAAATAAAAGCTACTGAGAACAGTCCGTGCAACCTAGATTAATCTATGTCTGAGGATTATAACAAAACAAATTTGGTTAAAATCGGTTGAGTAATATGGATATATATAATATATATATATATCCTATTTATATATATGTGTAACAAAATTATCCCATTTATTACTATGACTATTATTACTTTTTAACATTTGTTGTCTTAATATATACACACACACACACAGTGGGACCCACAAGTCTGAGACCATTAGTGAAAATGCTTCTATTTTGTATTGCTATCTAATAGGAGGAAAATATGACTGAAAAATAGAAAATTAAAATTTCAGCATAAATTTTAGAATTTCCTAGTATTTGTTATGCACTTCTTTTGCTTTCACAAGATATACTCAAGCTAGCAAGGCCTCCACAAGTTTGTGCAAAAGCCTCTGAGTAGATCAAACCCTCCTGAGAGCTGCCAGAACATGTGCTGCAATAGAAGAGATAAGACTAAAAAAATGACTTTTTTTGTACGAAGTACTCAACACAGTCACAAATTTGCTTAAATCTGACTAGTTATCTAAAAAGAGCAGAATCTTGAATATTTCTTCACTTAACTTTGTCACAACTTCATAATTGTTTTAAATGTTTACAAATTCTAAAATGTTCTGTTTATTTCCAAGTTTAAATAGAAAACTTCAGTTTTTCAATATAGTCTCAGACTTTTGGACCCCATTGTGTATGTATGTGTGTTTTAGTGTTGTAGAGGCCACAAACTAGCAGTCTCAGTCTCAACATCATCTGGATTTGAGGTAAGATAGGCTCAGAAATTGTTCTCAACAGAAGCTGAGTGTGATGCCTTCATCTGAGATAACTGGAAGCCTATCAACAAAACCAGAATAAATCAAATAGGACAGTCCTTTCTTTGCATCAGAGGTTACCAAAACGACCACAAAAGCTTCTGCAGATTTTACCAATGTTTTTTCTGACTCACCTATTGAAAAGGATGCATCTATTTGCTATGTTTAGTCTTCAAGTGATTGTTAAATTGTTGAGTTTTAAAACTTCATTTGAAAAGACCCTTGAGCAAACAGCACAGAGCGGTAGTTACTCGTTTTCAGTTCTCACATATTGTAACAAAGTTTTGTCTTAAAAAAAAAAAAATTCAGTACCGCCAAGGCCAAATCATAAACATATACTTTGTATACACTATGAACTCTATCAGGTTGTGAAATAAAATGAGTAAATCTAATTGTGTGAGTGTGTGTGTATGTTAGTATTACTGACATATTGGTATATATCACGGTATAAGGTATTGCTATATTTGTATTCCAAATAAAATCATATTTTTTGTAGATTAACAATGGCGTATTATTCCTCAAGTCCTTTCACTTTTATAAAGAACCATATTAAACCAATTATTTAACTGAATAAACAAATCTAAAATATTTAATTTGGCAAAACAGTAAAAAACAGATATTAACAATATATAGACAGTTAACATGTAAGTCATGTTAACTGCATTCATTTCTATATTGGTATAATGGTAATAACAAAACTAAAACCTTAAAAATAATTTCAATCGATATATATTACCCACTACTATTGCATGTTTGTTTTTTTTTGCACTGGAGTGGCAGAGTGTGGTAACAATGGTGTGTGCCTTGCAAATAAATGTAGCCTACAAATGATGCTCTCTTTTTTGCTTTTGCAATGCCATCTTATAGAATGCCTAAATACTTGGAGAGATGAAAGAAGCTGCTCCAAAAATCTGCCAAAGCAGGTCCCAACAAAAGATTAATAAGTGTATATGCTACCCAGGAAGCCTTTTGCAGATTTTAAACTGACAATAATGCATGCACATCCAGAGAGAATGGATAAACATGGAGCAATCCAGCTATACTTTAAATTATTTTTAGTTTTGTTTGTGTTTATATATTCTCTGCATTATTCAGGGATAGAAGCAATAGCATAAGTTTCTGAATGGGGGCAATGTCTTACAAGACTTACATCTTCCAGGAAGAGCCTCCTCTTAAGACTTCTTTAATAATGGCCTTGGTTCTTCAGACTGTCCCCACCATGGTCAGTTTTCTCTGAAGCAGTTCTTAGCCAAAGACATATGAAGCCGAAAAAAAAAAGTTGTCTTTGTATGTTATATGTAATGTAGTGCACCTTTATACCAGGTATCATTTCAAACTCTCTAATTCACTAATTCTTCTCTGGTCCTCCAACAGTAGGTTTACCACTGTACACCTGAATGTTCCAGGTTTGGTTTGTCATGACATGGAATGCTGCCCAGATATGTATACCATATGTCGGGTTTACCTGGTATTTATTGTTTGAAACGTCAGTGAGTAAGTAAGCTGTATTTAGAACTTATACCTGCATGAACAAGTCTGTACAATCTTAAAACAGGTTCAGGTTTTGCTGAACCAAGGTGAATGTTGATGTCAGACTTACAAGTGCAAATATTTCTTTATATAAAGCATCTATGTGCAAGTATGTTTGTGTGCGTTAATACTGAAATTCTATTTTTCACTACAAAAATAATGTAACAAAATTGAATAAACCACCTAAAACTCGGTGAAAGTAGTTATGAGCAAGTGTGTTGTTCTAGGATCAGACACGTCTTATTTAACTACTATGACTTTATTGCTAGGAACGGCTCCTAAGTCAGTACTCCTACTCTGAGAAGCTTTGTGAATACGGAAATGGCTAATCTGGACAACGTCATGAAGTCTTATGACAGTTATTAAAGAAATCATATTTATGAAAGAGAAAAACAGTAAATCGGTCAAACTTGACCAGAACATAACCAGAGGGCTGACCCTAATGAGCATTTATAATCAGCTTTTAGAGATGATTTAGCCAGTAGCAAGCTAACATAAAACATTAAGCTATAAAGCTAACCGGCGTTTTACCGAACTAATCCCAAGGAGTTCCACGAACTCCATTCGAAAAAGGAACGTTAGCTAAAATACCGGGAACACAAAAATGTCCTTACCGAAAAAATTATTTCGTTGCACCAAATAAAGCGTTCACGTCTGTTTTTTTCTGTTTTGTGTCGTCCGACCTATAAAAATGTCCGTCGTGTTTCTTCGCCCACTTTTTGTTCCGCTTTCTCTGGTTTTCATAACGTTCGGCTCTTTCCTTTTATGTGATTATTGCTTTTAGGTTGTGTCAAGCCATGTCCCAAATGGCAGCTCTGCAGTCCTCTTCCAAGACCGTCATCAACGTGCGGACGAACTTTTAGGGCTGTATATTTGAAGGAATGGATTTGTGAAAGGTCATGCGACGTGCAAATCGTTTGCTTGCTTGTTTGTTTTTGTGTTGTTCACATTATGAACAGAAAAAATAGGGGAATATTACACAGTAAGATTAGGAAAGATGCTTGAATATTATAGGTTTTGAAGTCTTTACAACGTTTACTTAATGGACTTTAAAGTTTCAATATAATTACATTTTCTGAAAAAAGATATGTTTTTTATGTTTTTTATTTTCAATATGCAATTTTAAATCTTCTTAGATATTTCTTAGAATAAAGTTATACAAGTCAGAGCATGTGGGGGTATTGGTATTCCTAAATAAGATATGTCAAACTTTCTTTGCTTGACTTAAAGAAGCTTCAGTACGGAGCCCCTCTGGTGACATCCTGTGTAAATAAAAATAATGCTTGGCTATGACTTAGTAAGGCGTGGGAATGAGATGATTAAGTCGTGGCCAACGACTTAGTAAAGCATGGGAAAGAGATCCTAATGTGTGGCCACCATGTAGTAAGGCATGGGAACGAGATCCTAATGCATGGCCATGACTTAGTAAGCCATGATCTCGTTCCCATGCCTTAGTAAGTCATAGCCATGACTTAATCATCTCATTCCCACGCCTTACTATGTCATGGCCACGCATTATTTTTATTTACACAGGATGTCACCAGCAGGGCTCCGTACTTCAGTGCAAATCCATACCAATAAATTTTTTTAGAAGCTTTCATTGGATTGTATCTGTGTAGTACAGGTAGCATCTGGGTAGCATCTGTGCAGCATTCCAAATTATTTCGTTTGTTGGAAGGTTTTTTTGGAAGTAGCCAGTTGCTTCCCACTGAATATTATAAAACATGTTATTCCACAACAACAGGGGGTGAGGTTGCAATGTGTTGTACATTTCTTATACATTTTTTAGTAGCCTAGAAACTTACTAGAAAATAATCAACAACAACGTAAACAACGTTTTGTTTATTGTTTTTGACCTTTGTCAATCAATAAGCCAAAGTACTTGACTTTATTTGCAATAGGGTTGTCACATATCAGGATATCTGATACATGAAATCTTATTGAGGTACCTTGTGGAAGTTTAATCGAAGCATTGCTATTCTTATAAAGGGTTTTACTGAATTTATAAAAGTGTTTCCAAAAACTGTGTTTGATGATATCCAAGGCCTTGTGAAAGTCAGGGAAAAGAATAAAACTCTCATCATTAACCAGTGATATTTCTTCCCAGTACGTGTTTTCGATAATGTCAAAGCGTTTCTTTGATTTTTTTTGCTAAGCATGTGGCAGTTATCTTATGATAATTTTGAAGGAGGCAAATCATACACCAGTTTTCAAGGAATGTGTCCACTTGCAGTTTAGGGATCAAATTAATTAAGCCTTGAGAAGGTATGTGACAGGTATCCACATTCAATGCATTCAATATAGACTTTAATTAGAAAAGGTGATATGTAGAAGTGTGTTTGAAATCCAGCTGTTAGATTTATTCAATTTGAATTTCTTGATGGTTTCCTCAATTTCATTAATATTTAAAGGCAGGCCACATATAGTTTACAAAACTGAATTCCAAAAAAGTTGGGAAATGCTAATAAAAAGAAAAAGCAGTGATCAGTAAATTCTGTAAATTCTATATTAAATTGAAAACAGTAGAAAACACATTTGATGTTTTACCTAATGAACTTCATTGTTTTTTGTAATATATGCTCATTTCAAATTTGATGCCTGCTATATTTTCCAAAAAAGTTGAGACAGGAGCATGTTTATAACTGTGTAACTCTCTATGTGTTTTCCTTTTCTTTGCCGAGTTGAACAACTCCCCATCCTGTGTGGTCTGATGCTGTTGCTTCTTCTGCTTTGATCGGGTGCCCACTGCTCGCCAGCCTTCTGGACCGGTTTGACCACCACTGAGTTTCATGCTGTATAACACTGTGCAAACCTCACCCTCATGAACTGACCCTCCTGATGTTGCTGCTGCTGCTGCATAAACTAAAACTAATCTAATTAACCATTGCTCTGCCTGTTTTCCCTGTTTTGTATTATAATATTTTATACTAATGCTGTTTGCTATCCGGTGTCAACCAGAGGAGGATGGGTTCCCCTTCTGAGTCTTGGTTCCTCTCAAGATTTCTTCCTCTTGCTCTTAGGGAGTTTTTCCTTGCCACTGTCGCCATTGGCTTGCTCATGGGGGCTCGGACCCGGATTTTTCTGTAAGGCTGCTTTGTGACAACACCTGTTGTAAAAAGCCCTATATAAATAATCTTTGAATTTAATTGAATTGAATTGAATTGTTACATCACTCAACAGCACTTAATAAATGTTTGGGGACTGAAGACACCAGTTGATCCAGTTTTGAAAGCAGACATTTTGTGCAACTGTACAGGGCTTTTGTTATTATATTTTGCTCTTCAATATGATATAGGCAGGCCAGTCTAGCACCCTAACTCTCTCTGATTATGCAGCTATGCTGTTATAACACATACAGAATGGATATCTCTGCAAAAGACGCCATCTAAAAGGCAGCGTGTTTTGCTCCAAAATGTGTAGATATATTTTTGCATTAATGGTGCTTCACAGATGTGCAAGTTATCCAATAATAACCCCATACTATGACAGACACTGGCTTTTGAGCTTAATGCTGGCAACACATTGGATGGTCCTTTTCTTTTTTGACCCAGAGAACACAATATCCATTATTTCCATTAACAGTCCGAACAGTTGACATGTCAGGCAACAATACACATTTCCACTGTGCATCAGTCCATTTCAGATGAGCTTAAGCCCAAAGAAGTCAGCAGAATTTCTGGTTAGCATATTGCTTCCACTGTGCCAAACACAGGCTTGATATCGTGTACACAGCGACAAACAGTGTTTATTGCAGAAACGGTGCAGATAATGCCATAATTATGTTTGTTCCCTGTAGAGCATGTGTTAACTTTTTTCCACTTAGAAAATCAACAAAAATGTAATTTGACCAGGGGTGTTATATATTCAGAAAAGGACATTGCATGTAAAGACTACATTTTGTGTACAGATAAACATGATTTAACCACTAACTATCCAGAAACATGAGATGAGACCTAGTCAACTACCTCATGTGCTGAAGGCTACATAAGATATTGTTGATATACCGCTATCAATATGTATTTAATATATAGTACAATGTCTTTACTGTAAACAAACATTACAATATGAGTGCTGTAAATATCACTTACAGTATCTACCTGGTAACTCTGCTGCCAGTAAGTTACTGTAAATTTACAGAATAATTTTTGACACTGTACCCCCTTTGTCTTCATAGCTGTAGGCTAATACTTCAGCTGATGCTCCTGTTTCTTCGTTGTAGTAATTAGTTTATGTTAATTTCTTTTGAGATATAGGTAAAAGGTGCAAGTGCAACAAGTATTGTTTGTGTTTCTTATTCTGTGTTTTTATTAGGAAATCAAGGACTATGTTTGGCTATTGATTTGCATAGAGAGTTTAGAATTATTCTGTATAATTCATAGTCTGTCAGTCTCAGCCTGACGGCGTGAAAACGCATTTGAACTTCACAGACATGCATTTTTAAAATGTAAGAAAAATCTAAATGACGTTAAAGGTACAAGGCTGTGTACGTAGGCCTCAGGCAGACATTTAGACAACTAGTTAATAGTTTCAGAAGTATTTTACTTTTAGTTTTCTTTATTTCTATGCAGTTTGCGATAATCACGATATACGATTTCTTAACGACAGAATGAGAAGCCTGATGAAACGAAATTCTCCTCTTCAAGCCGTTAGTCACTTCATTTCAATTAGCAGAATCTACCACAAGATTAAAACGTGCTAAAAGTTTATAGCCCTGCTCATTATTATGTTATAGCTCCATTATTTCGATTCATGCTGCAAGATGTGAATGTAAGCAACATAACAGCACATTAATCTGCTGTATTCGGTTAACCATATTCAACTATATTAAATTTCAATTCACATGCCACCTGCTATGGTGATATGTAATTAATCTACTGCAGCAGCAAAATGCTGACTGGCGCGCTGTGGTTCTGTCAAACAGATCAGTGCTGGAACTCGCTAAATTGAGGCGCGTGTCGGCTCAGCCGGTATGGAAATAACCTTAAGAAAATAAGGCGGAGTTCGTCTGCTAAGAAGCAGTGGCTATTTTGCATTAACATTATAAAACGCAGTGACAATTTACGCAAACCCGGACGTTACGCTACTATCCCCACCCTGTGATGTCTCTGGAACTTCCATTTATTGATTCCACTGCATACTGTAGGTGGCGGTATGTGTTTCGTACTTGAAACCAGAAGAAGAGCCAGACAACAAAGCGACAATAGCAGCAACAAATGCCTACTTTTTCCTCTAAGACTGCTTTAGATAGTAGGACTAAACAGATCAACAGGGACGTTTTCACCACCAAATGATAACTGAAAGTGGTTCACAGCTGTCGTTGAACAAAACGTATAAAGTAACTTTAGCTACCTATGTGACGTTAGCTAGCTAACTGCGTTTATATGTCCAGCTAGAAAAAGCTAACTAGCTAACGTCAGTAAGCTGGCTAACTTAGCTAAATGAGTTATTATTATTAATATCGACAAGCGTCTTTAGGCTTTTTAATGCGTAATGTCATGATTCCTGTGATTGTCTCCATCCATCTTGTCGCTGGGCATCCTCCTCTTTTGCTTCCAGTTTTTTTCCAAGCATAGCTAGCTAATAGCTTTTCCAGTAAATTGGTTCTTATGCTTCCCATGTACAAAATAATATAGCCAGCAGGCTTCCGTTTGGTTATATGTACTTCAAGTGAGAATTGAAGCTTGATTTGTTGAAGGATCCGTTTGTTTGTTTGTTTTTAATGTACTTATAAAAATCTTCGCCAACAAAGTTAATAATTTGCCATCTTAACATACGAGATCATTGGTCTTATTCGTATCGCTAAAGATTCTCCTGTCTGGCCTGGCCATTTAACAAGGAAACGTGTAAATAATACCATTTATCGTTTTGTTTGCTTCGTGCAAGCAGTGAAAGCATGGCTCAGCAGCGAGGCGTCAACAGTCTGCAATTCAACCAGGACCAGGGTGAGTTACGTTTTCTGAGCTTTGTATTTATTCTTATCGTATAGTTTAATGACTGATAATCTAAAATAGTTTAATACAATTAACATTATTAGGAATCAGCAGGTACAATCTGCTCACATATTTGTCTCCTGTCTGATTGTGAATTTTTCCAGCACTGGTATCAGATTCTAAACAAACATCCACTTTCAGATAACTAGAATCCTAAGTGAATAAAATAATTTTACTTATTATTTTAATTATTACTGTTCATAGCATTTACTTAGAGTTCTTCTATTTCAAACAGAAAATTCTGCATTTATTCTATTATTAATTCGCTTGTCTCAAAAAGCAGCATAAGTCCACACACAAAAGACTAGCAACACTGTCATTGTCTATCTTTGGATTTTTTTTTTAAAATGAAAAAAGTGACTCCTGTATTAACCAGTACCACTTTGTATTTTCGTTGTATCTAATACTGATTCTGACTTTCTCTATGCAGAATTATGCTTCAGCTTTTCTGACATTATTCTCTTTTTTTTGTAGGTTGTTTCTGTTGTGCCATGGAGACAGGTGTTCGAATTTACAATGTGGAGCCCCTTATGGAAAAAGGACACTTAGGCAAGAAAGTGTGTGTGTGTTTCTGTGTGCGTGTATTTCAAATTACATGCATAGCACAAAGTTTTTACAGTGGTCACATTTTATTGATTGTTTTTTTTCATTGTGTTTAAAATTCAGACCTAACTAAGCTCACAAATTAATATGCAGTAATTTTTTTGAGATGATGAGCATAGTTTAGTTTTTAAGGAGCCTTAAAATCAAAGCAAACTAGACATTGTTGAGTATTTTATGAAGCTTATCATTTCTGTCAAATAAAAAACAGGGTAGCCTATAATCATGAAATAATATTAATGGGCTCATTTAAGCTTTGAAACACTTGGCATGAATATAAGATTTACCCATTTTTAATTTTAATTTCATTTAATTTCTTTGTACGTTTCGCTCGATGAAACTGTTCAGCATGCATCTTCTAAAACTACCTTCCAAAAAAAATTGTTGATGAACATTTTTAGTTCTATCTTGAGAAAATACTTATTGTCTGTCCCTCTTCATAATAATTTTATAAAAAAAAAACCTTTAGGCAATGCCTGTCATTTGTTCTGTGCTACTGTGTCTGTAAAGTTAAAATAAGGTAAATATTTAAGGTTATGGATGACAATTTTGTGTAAAATAAGAATTAAAGCAATATTATGTCACAGTTTTACCTTAAAACAGCTTCAAAAATGTTAAGATAAGATAATCCTTTCTTAGCTCCACAACAGGGAAATTCACAGTGCTACAGCAGCGAAGGGAATGCAAGGCACTGAAGAAAAGAATTAACACGAAGAGAATTAACAAACAGAGTAATTAACCTTGTTAATTACTTAACCTAGGACTTCCTAGGACAGAGCTGGCCCTCTTAATGAGTCTGTCAAGTCTCTTCCTGTCCGCAGTTGAGATGCTGCCGTCCCAGTAGACCACTCCATAAAAGATGGTTGATGTCACTACAGTGTCGAAAAAGGTTCTCAGGAGTGCCCTCTGCACTCCAAACAACCTCAGTCTCCTAGGCAGGTAGAGTCTGCTCTGGTCTTTCCTGTAAAGTGCACTTATGTTATCTGACCAGTCCAGTCTGTTGTTGAGGTGACTTATAAGAGTCCACTCACTAAGAGTCCATTCCCTGGATGTTCACTGGTGGAGGGAGGTGACTGCACCTGCGGAAATCCACCACCATCTCTTTGGTCTTCCCTGCATTAACCAGGAGGTGGTTCCTCAGACACACAGGGTGAAAAGGAATGGTGCCAGGACGGTGCAGGGGCCCCTGTGCTACTGACCACCATGTCAGACACACAGTCCTGTGCCCTCACATGCTGTGGTCAGTTGGTGAGGTAGTCCAGAATCCAGTTTGATAGGTGGTGATCCACCCCAGTTTTCTCCAGCTTTTTCCTCAGAAGTCTAGGCTGTATGGTGTCAAAGGCACTGGATAAATTAAAGAACATGATTCTCATAGTGCTCCCAGGCTTCTCCAGGTGAAATAGAGCTCTGTGTAGGAGGTAGATGACTGCATCATCCAGTCCAATGCCAGTAAGAGTAAATCTCAAACTGTCTTTTACTCGTTGAGAGCTAAAAGAGATGAAAGGATGCAAGACTCACCAATGTTATTTGTGAAAGATTGCGATGAAGCTGTAATCTTATTGGTCTTGGTCTTATTATCTTTGTCTCACAGACTTTTGTAGTTTTTTCGTATGGTAAAAGTCATCTAATCTCAGTCCCTTTTCACGCTAGTATGCAAAGAAAGAAAGTCACCTCACGCCAAAACGTTTGGTCGGTCTTTGTCAGTCTCATACCAAATAAGCCTTGAAAGTTTGCAACCTCCTGTAATAAAATGCTGTAATTTTACTTTACCTTGTAAAGTAATTTGGTTACTTCCCCTACAGTGCAAATTGAACTTTATGCTATTACATAGCTTTTACATGGTGCTTTATCAACGTTGGTTAAGACTGCTGTAACTTATAAGGCTAACTTAGCGGCTGTGCTTAGGCTTTATCATTGAGCATTTTTGATGACGCCATATGTAATGGGGCATGTTAAGTTGTCATGAAAATTTGTTTATTTTTTTTAATTCTGTTAATTCTTTTAATGGAGTCTGTGAGCATGATGGGCCTGTGAGCAGACTTGCAGACCATTGTTAAAGCCCATGTATATGTTTTTCATTTTCATTTACATAACTGGCAGTGTTTTTTGTTTGTTTTCACAGACCATGAACAGGTTGGCAGCATTGCTCACTGCTCGATGCTTCATCGTTCCAACCTCTTGGCCTTTGTGGGTGGAGGTGTCAATCCAAAGTTCTCTGAGATATCTGGTACGCTAAGGTGCTTTTTTACATCCCTAAACACATTTTTTGAAGAGTCTTCTGAAACAGCTTTTAACAGGATCTAAAATCTAATTGGCTGAGCCACAAAGCTGTTGTAAAATACTCCATCTATACACATTAACAGCACACATCAATTGATTCATTATTAATGCATCAAATTATTAAAACAATTTTGCTGTTCATGTTCATCCTTGACTCTTGTGTTGCTTGGCCACCATAGCGTACTGTTAACAAACATAATTGCTTGGTGGAAGATCAATTTTTGCAATTATTATTAACAATATATTATATATTTATCATCAATGTGTTTTTATTGCATTATGTTCCTTTATGTTATGTTTTATAAAAGCAATAAGCTGTTGAAGGCTGTAGGTTGCAGTGATTTTACCACAGTCAGTGGATGGTGTTAGAAATGATGCAGAGCAAATTACTAACTTGTGGGCTTTTGTGGCTTATTGCTTTACTCCACTGTCCTTCCTAATGCCTTTTGTTTTACTGGCCATTTGTCTTACTGCAGTTTTAATCTGGGATGACGCTAGAGAGGTGCGAGACACTAAGGATAAATTAGTGTTAGAGTTCACATTCACCAAACCAGTTCTGGCTGTACGCATGAGACATGACAAGTAAGAACAAGACAAATTTCTCTTATGTGCCTTTGAAAACAATACCTTTTGTTTTTAAAAGTAAACTGACATATAGTTAATGTAGCTTTACTTTCTTGTATACACAGAATCATCATGGTTTTAAAGAACAGGATTTACGTGTACAGTTTTCCAGACAACCCTGTGAAGTTGTTTGAATTTGATACTCGAGATAATACGAAAGGTATTTCCTTTTTGCTCTATGCTTACATACAGAAAGTTCTGTGAATGTGATGCTCAGCTGCTGTAACTAAAAGACCCCATATTAACTTCTCTTAGGTGTGTGTGACATATCTCCCAGTATGGAAAAGCAACTGCTGGTTTTCCCTGGACACAAATGTGGCAGCTTACAGTTGGTGGTAAGTGGTCATTGCGCTTTGGCCAGATGTTATTGTGTGTGCTGTATCTGGATTTCTGCTCTCCAAAGATGTGGCTTATGAGCATGATGGGAGTGTGTTCTGATTGTAATTGTAGAGATTGAAGTGAAATTGCACTAAAAAAACTTCAGCCTAAATATCAGCTATGCTTTTGCTGCATTTCCTGTTGAAACGTAATAGTATAAGGTTAACTCATTTAGCTGAATGGCTGAGTCAGGGCTGTTTCAATCTTGTTTCAGTGATAATGAAAAAAAGCAATTCCTCCTCTGAGGTCCAGGTTGTTGTCAAGGGGGGAGAGAAATGTGAAGAGATATGGATATCTATGAAAGGAACACAAGTTTCTTGGAGTTAGCTTTAAGCCTAGCATGGACACCAGACCGCTTGCTATGTTTCTGTTCCCTTCTGCACCACCTGCAGCACTACCACTCTCAGTTAGCTGCATTGTCTCCGTCCCTGGTGCTTGCAACAAGCCACTTCCATGTAAACAACTTATATAACTATCCTACTTGCATATTTTTTTTCTTTTTTTTGTAAAAGTTGTTTTGTAACTAAGTAGCCAAACAATTGCAACTCCTCCTCTTAGTATTATCCCCCACTAAGCCAAAACACATGCATTAATGCTACCTAGGCTAGAGTGCCTGAATGCAGTTGCTCGATGAGTTGAAACTTATTGTTACCAATAAAATGATGAAATGAGTGGATATCGATGCAGCTAATTACCTTGCAAGACAGATACCACAAACATTAACCAATGTTACTTTCAGTCCGTCAAAGCCCAAAGCCCATTTTGTTGGCTTCAAAATGACAAATCATTTTCTTAGCTAGAGCTAAAACATATGCTAGCTAACATTGTTCATGGTTAACTAATTAGTTGGCTACATAACTTCCTTAGCTGGACAGTTTAGAACTTGTTATAGTTCAGCTCCATTAGCTCTCTTTAGCACCGGAAAGTCACACTGATTCTTAGTTGGGGAAATATTCTTTTCTTTGCTTGTGGCTTGTGAGCTACGGAGACTGTGTGCTGCGGATACACAAAATGATTGACAGGCAAGATCCTGTTTCTCTGTCCTGACTGGTACAAAGTACATGAAACCACCTACAAATCAGCTTTAAATCCCTTAAATGGGCTCACTACTAATTGTGCAGTCTCATCCTACGCCTGAGTCCCACTATAAAAGACTAAGCTATGTCTAAGCCATCTTTAGAACAACTCCTAAATGAGTGAGAATACTGACACAGTCAAAAGGAAAGAGCATAAATATAAGATAGACATCACAACCATGATGGTGTCAAAAGGTTTGTGAACGCATAATAATTCTCTGAATTTCTATAAAGGTATGACCAGAAAAATGGGATCATACCTTTATCTTGTTCATCCCATTACATGACAATCTTAAAGAGAACATAAGAGAAGTTGTGACTTTATGAAAAAAGAACCCAATTAAACAAATAACACAAACAGCTATATCATTTTCATAGATTTATTGAACAAAGTGATCCACATTAAATGTCTTTTCTGGCAAAAGTATGTGTGCCTCTGCTTTGAAGAAATGGTGTCACCTCTTTAAGCAGCAATGACATCAGCCGTCAAATGTTTCTTGTAACTGTTAATCAGTCCTGCACATTGACTTGGAAGAATTTTACTATTCTTCTTTATAGAACTGCTTCAATTCCATCATGTTGCTAGGCTTTCTTGCATTAACTTCATACTGTAGGTCCTGCCAATATATTTCTATGGACTAAGGTCTGGAATTCAACTTAGTCATTCCAAAATGTAAAATTACTTTGGCTTTAATCATTCTTCGGTCGGCTAACTGGTGTCTAGTTTAATTGTGTTTCTGCAAGACTCTCTTTTTGTTGAGCTTCAGTTCATGGATGGATAATTATGGAATTTCCTGATACAATCCAGAATTCATAGCTTCATCAAATTACCAAATGATAGCCAGTACAAGAAAAACAGGCAGATTCTTATATGTTACCATATGGTTCTTTGTGGTCTCCCAGAATATTATTCACCTTGCGCTTGTAGTGATTTTTGTCTGAACACCACTCCAGGGACTGGTAACTACTTCACTTGCAGATTAGTGAAACTTTTCAGAAATTGTTTTGTAACCCCTTCTAGCCTTCATGTGGCCGAAGACTAGACTTTGATAGTGAAGACTCGGGTTGATATTTTTTAAAATAAGGCAGGACCCTATGTACAGAATGCTAATGAGTTCACAGACTTTCAAAATGGCTCTTCAGTAGCATGGATAGTGTTTGCACTTACAGGAGTCTGTGTCTCTTGCTAAATTACCAATTAATGACTGTGTGACTTATCGCCAGTCTTGAAACGCGTATGTGCAAGGTAAGCAGCAGGCGCTGTACACCAGTAAATTTCATACTCTCCATATACTCTATTCATACTCTAGGTTTCACTGACTTCATTTGGAATTTTTCCTTCATCTTGCTGTATAAGCAGCCATTTTTAGCTAATTTGTAGCCATATTATTTTGTTTTTAGCCATATTGTTGACATACCACTGGTCAGTGCAACGATAACAGTGGCGCTCAGAGAGCCACCATTTGTACATCGTTTGTTAATAAAATATCCTGATTGATAAAGTCATGGTGTGTTGTAGGGGTGCCGGAAAAAATCTATTCTTAGATGCATCGTGATGCGGACGTGAACGATTCTGAATCGATTCACAAATGTCAAAAATCGATTTTCTAAATATTTAATTTATACCGTAATGTTGACGGAACGCAAAAGGCAGAACCTGGAAGTGCGGAAGTGCAGCGCCCGGACACTCTGTGAGGTGCACAAAAGCGCACATGGATGATCGAGAAATCTGACCGGCTCTCTCTGCATTAAAAGCCTGGTCAGGTCAGGAGTCACAACCCAAATGTTAAGAAGAGACAGGTTGTCCTTGCAACAAAAATCAAACCACCTTGGCAGCCACAACATTTATGTCCAGTATGTGTTAATGTCCTGCTATAATTTAGGTTAAAATATAAACGAAAACGCGGATTTACTTTGCTCTGCTTTAAGCTTTAGCTATAGCCGCTTTTCTCCATCTCCACCAGAAAACTTTTCCTCTAAAGTAGATCAGTTTCTTGTAAAATGTCTCTCAAAGTTCGGTTGTTTTACGAGGCTGAAGTCGCTTCTTTAAGTCGCTCCAGCTTCTTGTTCGAATTTTCCTGTTCCACCTTAAATTCTGACTGAGGTGAGGCACCATTTAAGGTGGAACGGGAAAACTCGAAAGAGAAGCTGACTTCATCTTCGCAACTTTTTAGTGTTTGATAGTCTCTCGTTGCAGATTTAGCTTGCAAATAAACCAACAGCAGCGCTTATAAATGCGAATAACGCATCGTTGCTAGGTGACCTGCAGTCGGAGAATGCCAGTTCTCAGTCGTTGCGAAACAGGGCTTTCGTGCTATGTTGCACACGCCCCAAAGATATTTTACTGACACAGCGATTCCCCCCACTCTCTACTACGAGACTAAAACCGAAGTTATAAAATCACTAACAAAAACGGGCAGGATGGCTTTAACGTGTTTAACGAGAAAGCCATTTTTGTGCGGCATACTGGAGTCAAGGGGGTCTGCCAGTATCCCTTGGTTAAATCCACTGTTGAATAAAAACGAGCAGCACCTAACCGATCAAGCAGTTCATCAATACGTGGCATTGGGCAGACAGCGAATTTAGACACCGCGTTGATCTTTCTGTAGTCCAGACAGAACTGAACAATCCCGTCAGGCTTGGGGACAAGCACCACAGGGATGCACCAGTCATTGTGAGACTCCTCAATTACACCCATATTGAGCGTAACCTTGATTTCATCCTGAACCAAATTCTTTTTGTGTTCAGGTAAGCGATAAGGCCAGCTGCCGACAACCATGACGGAAAGAGTCACAATGTGGTTCTGTGAAGTCAGTATGGCCAGGCAGAGGGGAGAACACGATGGAAAACTGTTTGCAACTTGGCAACAGGGAGAGCTTATTGCCATGAGGAACTAGAGTATGATCAAGTTTTGTGGGAATCTCCTGTCCTAACTCAGCTTTCTCCAGCTGAGTTAGGACAGAAGATCCTAAGGATGTACTCCAGGAGGTTAAGGTGGTATATCTGAAGTGCTCCACCTTTGTCTGACCATTTTACCTCATAGTCGACTTCTCTCACTCGCTGTGTGACCTTGAAGGGTCCTTGCCACTTGGTGAGTAGTTTGGAACTTGATGTGGGGAGTAAAACGAGCACTTTGTGTCCCAGCGTAATCCCACGCATCCTCTCATATAATAATTATAATAATATAATAAACCCTGAGGAGGCTTGCAGGACCTCTCACACTGCAGAAATCAGGGGTTCTAGTCACTTGGCCCAGTTTGTAGCATCCTTGTGAACAAACTTCCGAATCATGTTCTTAAGAGTCTGATTAAACTGTTCAATCAGTCCATCCGTTTCAGTGATAAACACTGGTATGAATCAATTCAATGCCCAACAGGTCGTATAGCTTGCATAAAGTGCATGAAATGAAAGTAGTGCCCTGATCAGTCAGGATCTCTTTTGGGATCCCAGCTTGGAAGATCACTTGGAAGAGTGCCTCCGCAACACTACGTGCTGAGGAGTACATGTTGTGGAGAGGCAACGCCTATCGTTGCATAATTGGCTAAGACCAATACAAAGCGGGACCTTCGTGCACTCCTATCTAATGGTTCAATGAGGTCCATACCAGTTCTTTCGAAGTGGACTTTGATTAAAGGAAGTAGGCTAATGGTGCTATTGGGATGGCTGGGTGGGTTGGTTTGCAAGCTGAAATTAATGGCATGATGTACACCAACTGCATACATCCATGTCCGGCCAGTAAAAACGGACCATTAGCCGGTTTTGTGTCTTTTCTTGTCCCAGATGCCCTGCCATGGGATTGTAACTCCCACCTTAATGCTATGGTTTTCACCCCTAAATTCGATAGTAATTGGCATGAGTGAATAATCATCACCATGAGCACAGAGCACCTTCAACTGATAAGCCTCAAACATGAATCAAACATTTGTTGAATTGTGGTTTGATTGCAGCCGGAATCCACAAAGGCGCAATATGTACCCCCTTGAATAGTCATTGGTATAAGGTATGTTCCGGCTCGATCATGGAAGATGTGTGGCCATGTGGGATCCCAAACCAGTGTGCCAACCTCCATATTGTGACTTTGGTCCTGAAAATGCCAGAGCTCCACACCTGCCCAGGCTTCTCCCCAGCTTTTGTGAGCTCAGCTAATCCCACCTGTGTGGAGAGAGAAGGGAGATGTTGAGAGGAGGTGGGAGGGGTGAGTGAGAGTGAGAGTGAGAGTTATGGGGAAGTTGAGTGGAAGGAAAGGGTTTAGGTGCCAGAGCTCCTCTTCTCATTGGTGCAAGAGTAAGAAAAGAAAGAGAGAGTTTGCTGAGTTAGCCACCTCCTGCAGGAGTCCTGCTGTGCAAACACAAAGGGCCAGTCAAACTCCCGCAGTATCAGCAAGCGAAACTGCTGTCTGTGTTGTTTGGGAGTCGAGCCAAGCTTCTGAATGACGGCCTTTTTCAGCTCGCCATACTCCAGCTGCTGCTGAGCAGGGAGCTGTTGGGTGGCGAGCAGGGGGAGTAAACAAACCGCCTTGTCTTTTTAGGCCAGCCCCAGTTATCCACCGCTCTCTTGAAGAGCTACACAAAGTCCTCTGGATTGTCCTAGGGAATTCGTCTTCAAGATTGTGATTGCGGCCGCTGCTGGAGCACTGGTGGTTTTCATCAAGCTCTGCATTAGCTTCTGATCCTCTTCTTGAGATCGCTTTGAATTGGGCTTGGTTCTTCCTTTGCATATCTAGGAGAGCTTGATGTTGGGTCTGCTGCAGGAAGGAGAGGGCCTTGACAATTTCCCAAGTGGCGAGAATTTCATGGCGACATTTGTCCCACCCTCCTGGCTTTCAGCCCCGCCGTGTTAACTCTTTTATAGGAGTAATTATAGGTAAAGGTCAGGCATATTGTAATACCACAGTTCATATGTGTGTATTGAACTGTAGGGGGTGAACCGATCTGTAGTGATATGATGATGTAGGGGTGTACTTACTTTTTCCACATAAGAAAACTGCATCGCTGTCTGTTGTGAATGTGAAATTATGTTGTCAAATTATGACATTTAACTATCAACACTGTTAAAATGAAGACTTGATATCTGTATAAATATGTCTGTCTAAATATGTTGAAAAAGTCAAAACTTTTCATGAGGTTCCTTCTTCACATGACTATATATCCTGTATCATAGACACTTGCATGACAAATGCCTTATAGCTGGTGGTGATCCAGTAAAACTAAGCTCGCCTAGTCTTGTTTTAATTTCCAGTATTAGCCAAGTTAGCGATATTATCTGTCCTTTAATGTTCAACAAGTTTTATTATAGATTCTACTTGACAGTTGCATTCTATTTGAAAACACCATTTAAATACGTGTGAAACTATCAAGATTTTAAAGTAAGTAGCAGCTGTTCTGGAAACAGGCTTGCAGGTCAAATTTTATAAGAATTGCTAATTGTTAAATAAATAAAAGACAGGAACATAAATGAAATGAAATGAAAGAAACTGCAGGAAAAGAACATAAATACTGAATGACTGAAAATGGTAGTTTATAATGTTGTTCAGGAAAGGGAACAGGGAAATCATAAAAAAACAGTAGGAAAAATCTGATTGCTGAATTAAACAATATCTCTGACTGACAGGTGGGATGGAAGAGAAAGAGAGGAAATAAAAGTTAATATTTGTGTGAGATGTCAGGGGGGTCAGGAGCCAGTTATGGAAAATTTAATTGGAAATTTAAAATGAGGTTCTTAATCCCGCTGACAGCTTGTGTATTTAAAAAAAATTCTACCAGTGCTGGAGAAACTGTGATATGGTTGGTGATTACACCTACATATTTTGGGATCTGAAAAAACAGATATTTTGGAAAAATGTTAAAGAAATTGAGTAAATCCTGGAAATTGACATTAAACTGGATACATTATTGTTGATATTGGTAATACTGCCTGAACAGATGGCCACCATAGACCAAGGCTACATACTGCATATTCTTTTAATCCTTTTAATCCTTTTATTTTTTTATTCTCACTATCAAGTAGATGAAGCCTAATCCTTCTACAATTGCTCAGTGGTTACAAAAAGTGAAGCATGTGTATATGGAACACATGACTGTTCAACTACAACTGAAATTACCTGTCTGTACAAGAAGGCGATCACTCAGTTATTAATTACCTTGGTTAGAAATTGTGTGCTTTTTTTTACATTTTTTTTTCTTTTTCTCCCCAGTGTTTGTTTTTTGAAGTACAAATATATGTATGTGGGTAGCCGCCATCCATTTATGTTATTCTATATGCATATGTGTCAAGTGATGCCCAACCTCAAGGTGATTTTGTTATATGATGTTAATTGCCTGATAATGTGTTAATGGCAATAAAGTTAAAAAAAAAAAAAGGTTCATACTAAGTATAGGCTTATAGGCTTCCTTTCTGTAGGGATATGTTGGATATGAGGCTGACTACAGCAGTGTTATCTGCAAACTTCAGGATCTCTACAGCTGGTTCCTTACAGACACTGAGAGCTGGGATAGTTTGCCCTGCAGCAGCTCTGGAACTATGGTGTTACAAGCGGAGCTGAAGTCCACAAACAGAACTCTAGCATAGGTCCTTGGACTGTCAAGATGCTGATGCACCTTTTGTCTCCTGAAAAGCTTGTTGATGTCCTGCTTGTTGACTGCAAGATGAGCAGGGGGCAGTGGTGAGAGAGGCAGGGTATGAGGACATGGGATTGGAGGAGTAAGGCTGAAGATTGTCCTTTGCACTTTGAAAATCGGCATTAGAGCTTATTCAGGTTGCTGGAGAAGCTCCTTCAGGAGAAAGAGAGTTCTTCTCACTAAGTAGTTGGTAATCGCCTGCAGGTCTTTCCAGACTAAAGTTGAGTCATTAGCATCAAAGCCTCTGTTCAGTTGCTTTGAGTATCTTCTCTTTGCTGCTCAGTATGCTCTGCGTCTCTGTCCGCTCTGTGCAGCTGAAAGTAGGCGTAGTGCTGTCTGGAGTCATGTCAGAAAGTCGGGTTTCTGAAAAGTCTTTTTGGTTTCATTAATAAGTGTTTCCCCCATTTTATTGCATAGAGATCACAGATTGGAGGCAAATAAAGATGATTGTAAAATCCACAGAGTCTACAGCACACGTGCATGCCTACCCCTCCTTTTCACATCATGGTCAGGCTAAGCAAAGTTGTTGGAATTTCCAGAAATTCTGATGTATTTTGAAAAAACAAAAATGAAATAATGCCAAGTGAAGCATCCCCTGTGAAAATATTCTGTTCTCCTTTTACATAATGCTAACAAGCTGGGAGGATAAGGGGTAGCATGTTTTTCCTCCAAGTCACATTGTCAGCCATTGCATCTTTTCAAGTTGCTGCTTATGCAAAAGGGCTTTATGGAGAGCATCAACTGCCTAACTCTGTTACCAGAGCTAACAGGTTGTAGGTAGCATTGTACTGAGTGGCAAGGGAAAAGGGGTTTATGCTTTCTTGGTCTCCTGGCCACAGATGGCTGTGGCATCACCAGGGATCATATTCAATCTATTGATGATGGGGCCAACCCTTAGACATTTGCATTTTTTTGCATTGCATTGCTGTTTTTTCATTCTGGAAACAAGTCTCTTGAATGAAATATTTCTGTTAAATATGATAGCCTAATGTAAAGTAAAATATTTTGTCATCTTTTTAAATTGATATTTAACAATATTAGCAAATAAATACAGGGAAATGTCATTCTAAACAGGTTACACCGTACATTGCCAATAGAAGACAGTTGTGCCATTATTAAAACTGTCATTATCTTCTCATGTACGTCTTCTACAAGGCACTGTGTTGACCTGCCCTAGTTGCTAAAAAACATAATTGCAAGTTGCCTGAGCACAGCTATGTTCCGCTGTGGTATGGTATGCCGATATAGTCTGTTGCTGACAACATTGCAGTCATCATCTTACATAGACAGACATGTTAAAATATAATGTTAAACAGCAAAGATGAATAAAACACCAGCAATCTTGAAAACCCAAGCATATTAGTGTGGCAGGCATGAAAAATGTTTATGCACAGAAGTAGACAGGTTTTCATTTTTTTAACCAGGCTGACATTTTTTTAAATTTGTGTTTGACTTTAAAAATGGCCATCCTCTACTTTACTTAGGATATAAGGTCCCTCTTTAACAGGTCCCACAGGCATATCTTTTGAATATTTGGCACTTCCAATTCAAAATATATTCACAGGGATGCTGGCTTGCTACTAAAAATTAAAACAAAGTTTGACCAAGGTAGGGTAGAAGGGTTACTTAACAGTGATTGAAGGAAAAATTATTTTTTGCTGTTGTTGAAAACTTCCTGCCACAAGTCTAGGCAACTATTTAGATTTTGTAACAATTGCTCACAAGGGCTGCTTATTGGCATGTGCCCATAAAACCCATGGAATGAACTGGGCCTGCCTGTAGTGTACATCAAGGTGTACTATTTTTGGCAGATTGCTTCCTATTCATATTGTTATGTGTGTCATATAAATTTGAGGCTTTGTTTGTCTGTGTTTGATAGGACCTTTCAAACACAAAACCTGGTACATCATCTGCACCCTTCACCATCAACGCTCACCAAAGTGAAATAGCATGTTTGGCTCTGAACCAGCCTGGTAGTGTGGTAGCATCTGCCTCCCAGAAGGGTACCTTGATCCGCCTGTTTGACACCACTACCCGTGACAAGCTTGTGGAGCTTCGAAGAGGAACTGATCCTGCTACTTTATACTGGTGATACATACTGAATGTATATATCAGTAGCATGAAGTCAAGGAATTTAGAAAAAACTTAAGGCAAAATAAAAGGTTGTTGGAAGCCATGCAAAAAATCCAACATATATCTTTCTCAAAAGAGACATTTTGTTTTATGCTTTAGTTGTTGAACTTGACTAAAACGTACAGGAGAGGGATTGACCAACATGCAGAATGCACAACCACAGAGGTTATTTTTCATGCTAATGTTCTCTGTGTATAGACTTGTCCACTGAGTGAAAGACACTCTTTGCCAAGGGTTAAAACAAGTAGATGATATTTCAACTTGGCAGGAGCAACTGGTAATCAGAACTGATTTTAGCAGAGTCAGTTATTTTTCAGTATTTAGGTGTGGTAAGCTAGTAATAGCAAGTTCTATTAATGAGAGATTGCTGTCATGGATGCAATGGAATTTTACTACAGCAAAACATTGGTCACTGTAGTTTTTTTCAAGAAACATCTGAGCAATTTTATGCAACACCCTTAGCGAATTCCCTTAGATAAGTAAAAACCCTCTCTTAAGGTTTATAATTAAGGGAAAAACTTCAGGTGTTTTATGCAGCCTGGCGAAAAAGTGGATTGTCTGGGGGCCCTGAGGACTGGTTTGAAAATCGCCTTCCTTTGGTTCCTTCATTGGACTAAACCAAGGAGGCACAACTGTGGTCCTGAAGAGTGGTGTTTAGCACAATCTGATATTTCCCCTATTCAAGCTCACCCACTGACCTGGCAATAAACAGATGAGCTGATTTAGGTTTTTGAGAAGGTACAGTTATGTGCAAAATAATAGCAGTCTAACATCACTAATGTGTTTAATTACTGATTTTGGCAGAAAAGATAAAATACAACATGGGAAAAAAATTCATGACTAGGTGTAGCCGAGTAATGGGCAACCAACAGAATCAACAGTCATGACATGCACGCTGCTAATTGGGTGTAATTGACTCATTTAATGAAAGGGGCATGTTCAAATTAATAGCAGTGTGGAGTTCAATTAGTGAGGTCATTCATTCTGTGAAGAAACACGTGTCAATTATGGCCATTATTTAAAGAAGGAGGGCAGGAAATGTTGTACCTGCTGGTTTTAGCCCTTGCTCAGTGAGTAAAATGTGTTGTTCCAGACACTGTACCGAAGGAGAAATAACTTTGATCAAGAAGTTGATTGGAGAGGGGAAAACATATAAAGAAGTGCAGAAAATAATTGGCTGCTCAGCTAAAATGATCTCAAATGCTTTAAAATGGCAAACAAAACCTCAAACACGTGGTAGGAAAAGAAATACTACCATCCACGTAGATCATAGAATAAAAAGAATGGCAAAGAAGCATCCAGTGATCAGCTCCAGAGAAATCAAAGAAGATCTTCAGTTACCTGTGAGTACTGCAACAATCAGAAGACGCCTACGTGAAGCCAAACTATTTGCAAGAAACCCTCGTAAAGTACCATTGCTGAAAAAAAGACATGTTGAAAAGGTTACAGTTTGTCAAAGAACACATTGACTGGCCTAAAGAGAAGTGGCGCAACATTCTATGGACAGATGAGAGCAAGATTGTTCCTATTGGGTCTAAAGGCCACAGACAGTTTGTGAGACGACCCATAAACACTGAATTCAAGCCACAGTACACTGTGAAGACTGTAAAACATGGAGGTGCAAGCATAATTGTTTGGGTATGTTTCTCATACTTTGGAGTCGGGCCCATTTATCGCATACCAGGCACCATAGACCAGTTTGAATATATCAAAATACTGGAAGAGGTCATGTTGCCTTATGCTGAAGAAGAAATGCCCTTGAAATGGGTGTTTCAGCAGGACAACGACCCCAAACACCAACCTAGATTGATGTTATAAAGTGGCCAGCCCAATCCCCAGACCTCAATCCGATTGAGAATTGATGGAGTGACATCAAAAATGCTGTTTTTGATGCAAAACCCAAGAATGCAGAAGAACTGTGAAATGTAGTCCAGTCAGCTTGGGCTGGAATATCTGTTCGCAGGTGTCGATGTTAGTTGACTCCATGCCACTCAGATGTAAAGCAGTTATCAGAAATAAAGATTGTACAACTAAACATTAGTTCAGTGATTAACAGAAAAGCTAAATCTATAAACAAATTTCAGTGTATACTGTAAATATTCGAGTTTGTAAATGAAAATGCAGACACTGCTATTTTTTTGAACAGCCTATTATTTTTTTTTTCTTCATTTTCCCTAAAAAATGGATATTTTGTTCATGTATTCATTTGGAATTGAATGTGCAGTGCTCCCAGTGCCTTTGAGTATATGGAAATAAATGCTATTATGAGGATGGAGCTTTTTCTCAGTTATTTTAAACACACTGCTATTATTTTGCACATAACTGTAAATCACCAAACTGTGCTGGACACCAGCCATCCATGACCGTGTTTGTTCACACCTGGACTAAACATCTAAGAACCTGTGACCAAAACATAATACACAGGCTCTTTACTGTCCTCTTGTGGAGTACAGAATTCAGACATCTCACGATTTTCAAATAAGACAAAATGTAAGGTTACAGAGAAGCTAAATTGCATGTCAAAAGTTTCAATTTGCCATTTGATTTTTTACTCTTTCATGACTCTTCTAAAATGAAGAAAATTCTGAGTCATACCTAGCCTACTTAGCTTTATTGACTATATGTAGTAACAAAATTAATTCCAAGTCTCAGGGTGTTTTCGTATTTTCATACAGACCAGAGGCCATTTGCACAGAGAGATATGATTGGTTAATTGTGAAGGCTGTTTTAGAATCTGGGTGTAGTCCACAAAAAGGATATCTGGGCCACCTAGCAAAAGTGGTCTTCAGTTCACTTAAATTCTGAAACCCAGAACATGTCAAAAAATGTATCTGCTTCCAGCACTGGACATTCAAATAACATGATTGGTTTAACTTATCACATTTGTTTTTTCTTCTATTTCTCTATAGATGCACAAAGCAACGTGAATGAATTACCATCATGTTTTTTCTTCTGTAAATGCAGAATATCCCAATTAATAGCATTTTTTTTGAAAGTGCAGAGTGTTAAGAGCACACCAAAAGTACTTCTGGTGACAGCTTGCTGGGTTAAAAAAAAATCTCCAGTGAGGAAGGCATGTAATTTGCATATATTCATGCATGAGACATTCCATGCATCCAGCAATAACCACTTTTCATCCTGGTTTTTAGTCTTGGTATGTAAAGTATATGCTGGAAAGGAGTGGCAGTGATATGATTAAGCCTGGATATGGACATAATTATTCAAGCCGAGTGTGAAAACAGCCTCAGAGACATTACCTAGCTAAAAATGTAATACAGTGACCTGTTCAGTCATCGTATCTAAAGCCAATTGAGGATGCTTCTCCTGTTCTGAAAATGAGACTTACAGATCCTGTGGATTATCACCAGAGAATATACTCAGCATCTGACGATATCTAGGTACCCTTGGTGTTCTAATCCGTAGGAAAATGTAAATAGTATATCAGAGGAAATCAGATTCTGTTCTGTAACGTTACCTGAAAGATCACATAATTGCTTCTAGTGTAAAGTGAAGTAAAGCAGGTCAAATGACAACAATAGCCATGGGTAGCCCTACGTTAACATAAGAAGAATGAGTAATGAATAGGCAAGTATTATACTAGAATACCAATTCCTTTATTTGAAGTACTCTAATCTTGCACACATTTACACATACTTTATGTTTTGTCTGTATTCATGAGTTGAATTTACATATAAAAATTTCAGAAAGCTGCAGTTTTGGGTCATGATTTGGGCTGAAGCTATATATTTCTTCCTGTATAGCTGTAAAACATATGGTACTTGATGGCCATCTAAAGTGGAACACATTTGATTAAAAATAGTTCATTTTATGTCCCAGTCCTTATTGTATGCAGATATAACCATGAATGAAAGATGATTCATGATAATCTAGACCATTTAAATAGAACAAAAATAACAATTTCCTTTGATACTGTAGTCTTTCTACAGATTTTTCTTTTACTGTTTTATTGTTTGTTTACACATTGTTTTAATTCTGTTTTCCAGCATCAACTTCAGCCATGACTCTTCCTTCCTGTGTGCTTCTAGTGACAAAGGCACTGTTCACATTTTTGCACTCAAAGACACCAAACTGAATCGACGATCTGCGTAAGGCTCATATTGACTGTGAACCAGCAAATCTTAGGTTTTCGCAGTTAATGTTTATGCACAACCTTTCACAGTACAGTTAATCACCAGCTTTTTAATCTTACACAGGATTCATTATTTACCTCTAACTAATTTTAATTATGTATTGTAATTATTTCCTATTTAGCTTGGCTCGGGTAGGAAAAGTGGGACCAGTAATTGGGCAGTACGTGGACAGTCAGTGGTCTCTAGCCAGTTTTACTGTGCCAGCTGAATGTGCTTGCATATGTGCCTTTGGGAAGAACACCTCCAAAAATGTCAACTCTGTCATTGGTGAGTAGGTTTTGTGATAAGAACTTTCTTTAGACTTCTTGGAGCTTATCCTTAGAATTAAATAACTATGTTGTTTCTTAAGGTTTTTTTTTTTTCCCCCAGCTATATGTGTTGATGGCACATTCCATAAATACGTCTTCACTCCTGACGGAAACTGTAATCGGGAAGCTTTTGATGTGTATCTTGACATCTGTGATGATGATGATTTCTAAGATTAGTGTCGACAAGAGATGAAGTTTAGTGCTGTATACTCATAGATTGTGTTTTGAATGTTGATGTATAATCAAATCTATATAAAGCAGTTTGTACAAAGTAAATAAAATGCCTCATAAACCATTTTGTGTGGTAAACAATAATGCAATTTGTGAACCAAAAATCTTAGTAATTGCAAGTTTAACAGATGATTCATCATGCAAAGTATTGAATGCAGTGGTAGATTAGTTGTTCCCTATGCTGATGTACTATTCTAACTAAAGGTTTGGTTTCCTTGGTGGTAATGTTTAATGAAACAAATTACTGTTTAAAATTGAGTTTATATATATGTGTGTGTGTGAGATTATATATATATATATATATATATATATATATATATATATATATATATATATATATATATTTGAAGGATCTATTTTATAAAACAACAATAATACTTTAAGGGCATTTACTAAAAATAATTAGACAATGTGAAATTTTGCCAGACAAAATTATGTCCTCTGCTGTGATGCAAAACTGTTTAATAAACACGTGTCTATTTAAAGACTATTTCATTTAGGACATCCAATCACTAGGACAAATATAAACTAGAAGTACACATACCATCTAGCCAAATAAATAAATAAATAAATCTTATTTCTTAAAAAAAAGATACTTGTCATGTTCCCATACAAAAAGGGGGTTCTTTCATGTGCCCCTAAACAGACCAAAAATAAATAAAAAAATTACAGCCATTTTCAGTAAAATCAGCAAAGTCAATAACAATGTGAACATGATTAACTTCATTAAAAGGAGAGTCTTGACTGCTGCAAGCTGGGCCAAAACTGTGACGTAAGAAGGATATTACAAGAGAGGATAGGAGCAACTTGAGAGAACAGAGCGTATAGTAGTGGTGATTATTTGTAGTTTTTAAAAATACTTTGTGTGGCAATATGATATGAAATAAGGTGTTTGACTGGTACTTGTTTCATCACATTTTTAACTACTACCAAAACTGTTGCCACAAAAAAAAAAACCTAGCAAATTAAAGTGATTGTGATAGTGTTTCCATCACTGTTTTGTTTAGTTAATTTGATCATCATTGGCAGTATTTAATTTTTAAATTACTTTTAAATTTGTCACTAGTGCTACTTTTTGTGATTTTTTGCAATGTTCTGTTTGAATAGTAAAAATGATTATTGTAATTGTTATTCTTGAATCATTAAAGTATCTGAGCTTTGTTTTCCTTATCTATGTCCTTTCATTTTACATTGTCCTTATGAGTAATATAAGCAAGTTTTTTTCTTTTGTTTTTTGTTTTTTTGTTTAAAAAAAGCACTGTTGTCAACATTTTTGATAAAAAATATTTAATGAGTTTACAAGGGCAAAGAAAATACATTCAGAAAACAAATTTACAAAAGTAAAAGCAAACAAATTTACAAGATGTGAAACACTTACCAATACCGAAACAAATTTACAAAGGGCGAGTCTGACGGAAAGGGTAGGCACCTTAAACAGGAAGTACTTGTTGCTGACCTTTTGCGTCAATCAAACATATAACCACTGCCTTTACGAAAGAACCCTTGAATAGCCTTTTTTTTTTAAAAACGTGCATAGCCAATCTGTTTCTCTGCATACTTTGTTACCTTGTTCTTCAATGGTCAGGAGCCCCACAGAGCAGGTATTATTTGGGTGGTGGGCCATTCTCAGCACTGCAGTGACACTGATGTGGTGGTGCGTTAGTGTGTGTTGCACAACACACACTAACACACCACCATCACATCAGTGTCACTGCAGAAACAAATCAATAAACTATGTCCTACCATAGCCTTCCACTTTTCTCTTTACACCTCTCACAAAGCTTTCCCTATTTCTTCATTGAGTTATTAAGTCAACTGTTGCTTTGAAAGAAGACAGGCCTGCAAGGTAAAGTACAAGATCTTCTGACAGGAAATTGGGGCCTGGACCTCCATGCACAACTGACACTGCAATCATCTTTCCTGCCAAGTAGTACCCATCCTCCCTGACAGCTGTGAATAAAAATCATTCATATTTCTAAATTCAGATATACTACATAATCCATTAGAACTGAGATGAAACTCCTACCTATGAAAATCCAACCTGTTGCATAATGTCTCTGGAACAGTTCAGTTAACAAAGCATATCAGTGATGTGTAAGTGCAAGTCACACATCTAACACCTTGCATACCATTTGCATTGTAGACCATGAAATGCTGTCCTGCTGGTACATCAAACATTGGACGATCTTTTAGATGGCCAAAATATTGGCCAGCATTATGCACAGATTCAATGTGCCCATTAAAGGTATCGCTTTCCTAAATTATTTGTTTAATGTTAACTCACCACAGTGTCAGCCTGACTGAATTCAGTTCTGCTCCTAGTTGTGATGACAATGTCATGTTTTAAACTACTATGACATACTTCATGTGTTGAATTTGATTTTATTTATTTGTTTGAGCTAACATCCACTGCAGCTAAAAGAAATAAAATCAAATTCAACACATTAAGTATGCCATAGTAGTTTAAAACATGATAAAAAAAAAAAAAGTACTAAATTGTCAAACCCACAAACCTCCTCTAAAGTGATTTTTAGGCATATGTAAAAAGCAATCCTGCAATATGCCTTTCCTATTTCTTTTTTATATTCTGCCAGTATGAATGGCCTTTCTGTCCCAGGCATATGGACCACTTCAGAGCAATCTTGATACAAAAGGACGTATGGTCCTTCATCCATGTCCTTGTTAAATACTCTAATTTTCTGGACAGCTAGTTTCAGCAAATCAGGTGCTGCTACCTCCAGGTCTGTAAATAAAGGGAGTATTTTTCCTCTTACAGGTTTTAAGTCACATCAACGTGGCACCATCAATCCTATGTTTATCTAGGAAAATATAAGAAAGAATATGCTTACTGTAAATCTTATATTTGTATGTTTGTTGCATAGGAAGTTAAACACCAAAATGGTCTACTGATTAAAACGAAACTTTAAACCTATTCTCTTGCAGACAGTTGTCATTTATACATGACACAAAACAGATGAGCCATCTTACCTGAACTTGTCTCCTTTCTTGTTTTAGTCGTCTCTTTGGCCCACAGCTAACTGTCTTCCTTTCGATTTTTCGACACAAAGTAAGCAATCCCAGCATATGTTTCGACAGGACTGCCAACTCTCCTGCCCTGGCTGGTCCGATTTGCCACTCTCCTGCAAAACTTGCATTTTTCCCGCACGGATTAAAGTTTAGCCCCCCTCCCAGCTCCAAGCTGGCCTCAAAAGTTGGCAGCCCTTTTCCAGTGGTACTCAAACAATTAACTGATTATATTAAACTTAAAAGAAATTATACAGCTGTGCCTATGATACCTAGTGCTAGCTAAGTTAGCGTTTACAGTCCACTTACTTTCGTTAACATTTCCAGGTGGTTTAAACGTCGCCGGTGCATTTTTCGCCGTCAAGTAAACGCGAGGCGCCGCCACGCGTTTTAGAATGTCTGCCGACGGCAGGCGCTTAGTTAACGCCACCACGCGTCTCATAAGCAGAAATGACCTGAATTTACATATCCCCTCCTTCCCCAACACGTTCAGCCCTGGCAGGGGGAGGGTTATACAGGGAGTTGGTTTGCCCAGTTCAAAACTCAGTGATAGCCAGGAGAATTTTTATTGCTTCCACTGATTACGGTGATGGGTTTTGCGCACTCCTAATCGGTCTGCTTCCGAGTATACATGCATGCAGCAAGCAGGCTATGTAGCCTACATGTGGGCCTACGGATAGCTCTGCTGTAAGGTTGTTCACTTTCCTTTGCCCCAAGATGGACAAAAGCAGAACTTGTGAGAAGTGAATGTCTTTACTTTGCTCGTACTGTCAGCTTTCATTATCTTGTGACTGCTCATTCGTGTGAAACAATTACAGGCATCGTGGTTGCAGGTTGTACAGTGGATACGAAATCACGAGCCTCCTTAAACTAAATCCGCGCTTTTTTACTTGATGTTGTTTCTGTTGTGACAGACATCCCTTAGTTCGTTAGTGTGGACTGCAGTAGCCCCACATGAGGAATCGAGTCAGTGGAAGCAATAGAAATTCTCCTGGCTATCACTGAGTTTTGAACTGGGCAAACCGGCTCTCCGTATAACCCTCCCCCTACCAGGGCTGAACCTGTTAGGGAAGGAGGGGATATGTAAATTCAGGTCATTTCTGCTTATGAGACGCGTGGTGGCGTTAACTAAGCGCCTGCTGCCGTCAGACGTTGTAAAACGCCTGGCGGCGCCTCGCGTTTACCTGACGGCGAAAAGAAGACCTTTAAACGCCGATCTGGACGGCGTTTTAAAACATAGCGCGCACTTTATACGCCGTCAAAACCCTGACGAGTTCTGACCCACTTGGCTTGCCATATAAACGCCCCTCTGGACGGCGTTTTTAAACATAGCGCGCGCTTTATACGCCGTCAAAACCCTGACGAATTCTGAGCCTCTTGGCTTGCCATAGAAATGACCTGAATTTACATATCCCTCGCGCTTTTTATGCCCACTGCACTATGTGCCACCCAGAGCCACAGCTCTGTTATGAAATGTATCCATAAATGTATACATACACTGACCAACCACTTCATTAAGTCCACCTCCTTGCTTTTACACTCATTGTCCATTTTATTAGCTCCACTGACCAAATAGTTTCACTTTGTAGTTCTACAATTACAGACTGTAGTCCATCTGTTTCTCTGCATACTTTGTTACCCTGTTCTTCAATGGTCAGAACCCCCTCAGGACCACCACAGAGCAGGTATTATTTGGGTGGTGGATCATTCTCAACACTGCAGTGACACTGACGTGGTTGTTGCTTGTTAGTGTTTTATTATGTGTGGATCAGACACAGCAGTGTCCTGAGTAAGATTATATTAATAAATTACCAGTGCAAACTCAGCAACTAATACTAATTTTAGTATAGACATCTGAGACAAAATGCCTGAAAATCTACTGATTGTGTGTACAACTGGTACAAAATGTGCTGCAAGTACCTATATTTTTCCTGAGTAATCCTGAGTATTATTTTCTTATAATGTTTCCTGAGTAACATTATGTTAAAGTAACAGCAAAACAGTATTTCTTAGCCACACCAGTTGTGCGTATGGGCATTA